AAAATTATAAAATAATAAAATATCTAAACTTCTTGTGTGCACTATGTTTAAATCACAAAGGAACACTTCTATAATTAGGAATTAAATTTGCTTCGAAGTGCAAATAAGGTAAAGTAGCATGTGCTAGTAACATTTTAACAGTGTTAAGATTAGAAGTAGATATTCTACTTATTCTTAAAGAAAAATATTTATTAGAAAACTTGTTATCCATGATAAAAGTGGGTGTCTTATTAACATATTACATATAACATTGTATACAATAAATAAAAAAATCACTAAAACTCATGACCAAAATAATAAGTTTAACTAACATTGTGGCAACATTCAACTCTACCGTTTCGTTGTGATGTCTCCACATTGCTCATTTTATGAATAATTTAGTTAGAAGCATAGAGAGAGGTGCCAATCCAAGGCAATTTGACATATTTGAACCTTTGAATGTCTTTTAGTATACACATGAGTAACGAGAATAGGTTTAGAAATTGTGTCTACACATTGCTAAATTTCTCTTTTCATGCTATTAGTATCTTATAATACAGATTTATTAGTAAATATGTCTATTATGCGAGTTTATTTTATTTTTATTAAATAAATTTATTTTAAAATAAAAATATATATAAATATAGTAAAAAATTATTATATTAAATATAATTACATTAAAAAAATTATGAAATATTTTTTTATGTATAACATTTTTTTTATATTCTATATATTTATTAACATTTTTAATAATAAGAATTTTTATTTCTTTTACTAACGTTACTTTAGACGATACAATATATAACTGATAATAATTAAATATAGCTTTTAACAAATATAGTCTAATATAATTTAATGATTGTCCTATACTTCTCAAAAATTTGTTTAAGTAAATCTTCCATTGGCTTGCATAGATATTAACTTAGAATTTTTATCAATATGAGAATATTTTCTCTTTCTTTATTAATTGTTGGTATGTATTCATCTCAACTCTATATTTAGTTTATAATTTATAATAAAAAAATTATAATATAATATATTTAATTTATAATTTGTATGATATAATATTAATTATAAGAGTGGTTATGATAAAATTAATACGTGTATAATTAAATTATATTTAATAAATAAACAATGCAAATATTATCACACTTTACAATATTAATACCAATATATGCATGAATAAAATTTTATAATCATTCTCTAATTGAAATAGAGAAGTAAATTAATTTTAAAATATGATATAATTTTAAATAATTGTTTGCCAATTTAATAATAATAGAATTAATAAAATAATTTTAGAAATAATAAATTAAGATAATAGTAGAACTAATAATAGGGATGGCAATGGGTAAAGTACCTGATGGGCACCCGCAAAATTTACCCACAATAGGTAAGGTATTTACCCGCTATACGGGTACGGGTATGGGTAAAAAACTCACAAATTTTAATGGGAATGGGTGCGGGTATGGGTATCTAAGTACCCACCCCGCCCCATACCCACATATATATATATATATATATATATATATATATATATATGCTTGAACTTTATTCTAAAATTATGCATTGAATTTTTGTATTATTATATTACTTATGTGAAGTTATATAAGATTAATATAAAAATATATTTAATAATAAAGTAAACTAAAAAATTTATTTTGATTTATATTTTTAATAGAAAAATTTATTTACTATTTTATATCATTTAATTAGGCTAACACAATTTAATTATTACATAGTTAATATGAGATTGACTTTTTTTAAAATATTATTTATATATGACACACATAAAATATTTTTTACACAAATATTTTTGTTAATAAAATCATATTGATGTTTAAATTATAAAGTGAATGATAAATAATAAATATTTTATAAATTTTACAATCACCTACTATTACTGTAAACTTATTATTTATTAATAATATTTAAATCTTACTTTTTATATTTTAATTAAAAATAATATTTTTCTATGCAACATATGTATTACAAGCACAATTATAATCTATTGAATCTAAATAATATTATTCTTACTATTTATTCACATTCAAAGAAATTTTTGAAAAGATATAAATATAAAAAATTATTGTTAATTTTTATTTGATAATTTTTTCAGATAAAAAAGTATAATTTTTTTAATATACACGTATATTTCTTTATTATAAAATTTTATTGTAACTATTTATCTTTTATTCAAATTCTTTCTTTTAAAATTTATACACATTATAAATATTTAATTCACTAAAATAATTTTTCAAAAATTTATATTTTTGATAAAATACTTTCGTATAATATATGAGTTAAAAAATATTAGTATTAATATATATATATATATATATATATATATAATTTTAATTAAATCTATTATTTTTCTTACAATTTCAAATTTAAAAGTTAAAAAAATATTTTCTGTATCCACTTTCTGTTATTAGTATTGAACTTCTCTACTCTAACTCTATTTTCATTCTCAATGTCTGTCTCACTAAAACTTAACAACTATGAAATGTTATTCATTAGAATTAGTTGTCAATGCCGTCACAAGAAGTTACTAAGTAATACCACACGAAGGGACAACCATTGTACAGATCTATTTCGTTGTCGCTCTGACATTACCAATCAATCAAATATCACACAAGATAGGATTATCACTGACAAATAACTTGTGTGTTTAGTTTTGTTTATTGTTTCTAAGAATTTTAGTTTAGAAAATTTTTATATTAAGATACATTTAGCATTTATAATCTTTGAATATTTGTTTGTTATCTATGTTTGTACCTTGTTCGGCAACTACATATTAAATTTTTGTATTATTATGCTACTTATGTGAAGTTATATAAACATATTTTTCTTTATAAATATTTTTTTATCAAACAAGCGCGGGTAATGGGTACAAGACGAGTATGCGGGTACCCAGAGAGTACGGGTACGGGGATTAATGTTCATACCCACGCGGGTATGGGGATGGGTACTGTAGTACCCTACCCATACCCTACCCATTGTCATCCCTAATTAATAGTATGTTAAATTTTAAGAAAAATATTAATAAATAAATAAGTGAATTTTTAATATATATATATATATATATATATATATATATATAATGATACATAGTATTAGTTAATTTAAAATAAAATATAATAAATAAATTTCATACGGTATTAATTATAATAAATTTTAAAAAAATATCAACATACTTAAAAATTATTCAAAATTTTCTAAATTTTTTTTAAAAAATTATTTATAACATTAACGAATATTTTATTTACTACTTAAAAAGTACTTTTTTTGTGATTATGAGAAATAAATTAAGTTACAAAGTTGTGATACATAATAAATTGATAATAATATAATACATATTTTTTATTTTTAGTTTTAGTTATTTATTAATAAGTAAAAATAAATAAAATTCAAATGCATTTATATTACTGTTATATAAACAAATTTATTTAAAAAAATATCATACATATTAAAAATATATTGTAAAATTAAAATGTGTATAATTTAGTATTTTCTAAATTTAATTATATTAATTTAGAATATTTTATAGACTAAAAAAATATTTATAATAAAATTATAAAATTAATTTTAAATAATATAAAAAATTTTATTTTTAAAATTTAAAAATACAATTTATTTTGTTTCATGATATCATAAAACTATTCATTATTATAAAATTTTAAAATAAATAATTATAACAATAACTTATTAAATATAACAAATTTTTTTAATTAGTTATAAGTTTAAATAAAATACCATATAGTTTTTGAATTATGCATTTGTTTATATTGATTAACCTAAATTTATATGATAAATTGTTTATTCATAATTATAATTTAAAATTGCTAATAAAATTTTTATGATATTATTATAAAAAATGATATAATATTTTTTTAAAAATAACTCATCAGACTAATATATAATAAAATAAAATTATATTTATTTAAATAATGTATAAAATTTTAAAAATATGATTTCATATATATACAAAATCATATATTAATAGCTAAAAATAAAAATATATTAATTTTTTTGTTACATAAATAAAAAAAATTGTAAATAAAAACTAATAATAATGCAATATATATTCTTAATTTAAAAGTTTAGTTGTTGATAAAAATAAAAAATAAAAAATATAGAATTAAATTTTTTTAAAGTGATTAAATTATTCTATATTGCTTGATATCTTAATAAAATTAATATTGAGTAATATTATAAAAAGTTAATATTGATTTAATAAATAATTATTTTTAAATTTTAAAATAAAAAATAAATCTGACGGGTTAGCTTGTTTTGGTTCGTCATTGGCTTACTTTTTTGCGGGCTAAATGGTCATTGAATCTAAATCACTCAATTCGTCCTACTAAAGTTAGTTGATTAAATAAACTGGCTCATCTGATCAAGCCTATTTTAACAACCCTAAACTACAGTAGTAATACTTTTTCACACAGAAATATTTGAGAATTTTGAAGTATTTATTACTCCCTTCTTGCACTTGGAAATCTAGCTTTCGTATTTTATCCACTTTTAAATGTTAAATATTATTATCATTTTGATGAAATCATAAAGTCTTAAACAAACATATGTAAAATCATTCAAACATAAAGAAACTTAAAACAAGAACCATAAGGGCAACTCCAGTCACAAATTAGCTCTGAAACATGATTGATTAAATTATAGCTAATTTTTGTTTTGAACGATACACTACAAATGTCTTTCGAATGATTGGGTTTCTGCCCATTTATATCATCACAAAATTGGTACGTTCCTACAAAGCAAATAAAATAAACAACTGTTTGTTTTTTCTTTTCATCTATTCTATATTTTTTTTTCCCTTTGGTAATACAAGGACCATAAACGTACAGTTTCTATGCACATGATCATTAGATATGTAATCTTACACATACCAAGTTAATATGGCATTTTCGTAGCTGGCTAACTTCATGTATATATCTAAGAAAACAATTATGAATAGGACGTGGCCTCTTAATTATGATAGCTTGAGCCATTATTAGTATTTGTTATTGAGCATTAAGTTGATGATGATGAGGTTGTTTACACTGGTCATATTCTGCAGGTTCATTCTTAGGTGGTTCAACATGAGAGGCTGTGATTGGGATGTTCACTTGTCCATGTGGCATCATATCTGGCATGTCAGGTCCCACCATGTCATGCTGAATAGAAGGATACAATGTGTATCCTTGAGGCCATGCTTGAAGGTTCGCATCACTTGGATTTGTCACATGACACTCTCCCATGCCTCGTGGATCAACATTTGAACTTGTTCCTTGTGAAAATGAACCATACACGGTGGAAGACAAGTCCCTAAATGAACCATTTAACAAAGATGAAATATTTGTGCATAAGAAAAATGTTTACAATTTTATCAAAGGAAATCATTATTAATCAAAAATTAAAAAAAAAAAATTGAAACCTGAGAGGATCTAAAGGAGCAGATGCATCAAAAATTTGGGGATGGTTTTGACTCCCATCTTGCAACCAACTTACATTCTCAAAAGAGGTCGGTATACCCTAGCACGATTATATAATTGTTATTAATTTAACATACATGTGTAGTTACTTAGATGACAACACTAAATTAATTTTAAATAGTGTAAATAATAGATATAGAACATGAAATCTTATTTGAATGGTCTCATTTTTCAGTAGTTATATAATCCAAATTTATAATTTATTGTATTGTTAAAATGTATTGTTCTCATAATTCTTAATAAATGCATTTTATTACCTGCATTCCAGAGGGATCATATGAAGATAAATGGTTGCTCAACAAATATTCCTACAACCATAAATAAAAATGCACATTTTTCAAATAAGAAATTACACATAAGGCAAGAAAAATATAGGGTAGATTTATACTAAATAAATGAAGTACTACAACATAAAGAGAGAAGTGGATTATTACGATTGTAATCAAACCTTTCTTTGTATAACTCGTGTCAAGGTATCTACAAGGTGCTTTTCACTAGTTTCAAGCTCTGCCATAGATGTCATCTTTAATGGGTCGGGTTCATAAATTCTGTGTTTATCCTCACAACATTAAAACCATTATTGGGGAAAAAAAAAACTGTGGTACAGTAATATTTAAAGAAAAGAATAGAAAATCAAACATTCACTAATTTTGTTATCAAGAAACCTTATTTGATCCTCGGCCATTTGAAGTTGTTGTTGTAATCTATTAACCTCTTGTTGGAGTTCCTAATCAAGAAGAGGTTTTTAAGAATATATGAAAGGCAATACGAACAACAATGGTAAAGATAAAAATAAAATAAAATTCTAATCTCACAAGAAGTACGGTTGCATAAATCAATCTGAGTGAACATCATGTCTTTAAAACTAATGTTTAACGTAGAATATAGCATAATTTGCTTACCTCGATATCAAAGTTAATGTCTCCCGAACTTGTTTAAGGAAACAAATGAAATAGCAATAAAAAAAATCAGTACTATTAGATCATCCAAAAATATTTAGCTAATAATCTAAATGATTTTCAAAAATTAATATTTACGAACTTGGCAAGTCGAAGGGCTATGTCATTTTCACTCCTCAATTGTTGAAGGGTCCTTAGCAAATACTGCAAGTTATAAAAACATTTACAAAGTAATTAGTTTTATATTAAATAAACAACTATATTTATTAATTTGAATTGCCTTTTATATTACCAAAACAATCCAAAGTTAGCTTGGCTAAAAATTAAATTGGCAAATATTTAAAGGAACTTTTATAAATCTTATTTGATCATGTTATAAGAGATTACAAGTGTTAAATTTAATTTTTAAAAGTATTATCCCATAATTTTCTCATAAATTCTACTTAACTTATTTTAATTAAAAATTTTATCAAAATAAGCTTTTAACTTTTGTATGATAAGTTTTTAGTAAATAAGTATTTAATCAATTTGTTTAGCCAAATATATAACACATTCTTAGAATATTGTTGTTAAATTAGTTCTCAAAATTTTAAAGGATTTAATTTTTATATAATTATAGTAAGTTAAATTACCTCTTTATTTTGAATACCCCTGCAAAAGTAAATAAATAAATAAATAAGAAACAATAAGTACAAAAAACAAATTAAGAATTATAAAGGAAATACAGAAATTGAAGAAAGAGTAAAAGAAGGTAAAGAATAGAGAATTCTTGATGATATACCTGCGATAAGGTAGCTCAGGAAAACTTACAGCGCTGCAAGAAACAAATTACTATAAATAATTAAATTAAAAAGTCAAATGTGATTAGAAACGTAGAATCACCATATCTCATGATAAATCAAATTGCATATTTAGAACTTACTTATCTCTTTCTTGATCAGGAAGATTAATGTAACGAATAAAAACATCCTCAATCCTGATTATCACAATAATAACAAAATGGTCATGTCTCATTATACAATGGATCAGATCATTAGAAGTAAAACTCAACATTTAGAAGGAAAAAAAAGTAGAAAAGAAAGAATGTATCATTCTTTGATATGTTCAAAGGTGGGAAACGTAACAACCCATAAAAAATAAAAGACCTTAAAATGAAGGTTTAAAACTATTTAATTGATTCAATTTGTAAACAAAAAAAAAAGTTAAAAATAAGAATTTGAGAGTTTTTGGTAAAATAAATTGACAAATGGGTCAAGTTTGCTTAATTTTAAAAGTAAAGGGACTTAATTAACTTAAGAAAAACTTAAGGGAGCAAATTTACATATAACCTGAACTAAGAGGAACAACAGTGAAATTAAGCCAAAATAAAAGTGGTAGTAAGGACAAGTTTCCATGGGTTTAAAGATGTACACTTAAAAAGTTTATAATCTTATACGAAAATAAGAAAGAGTCAACCTGCATTTAGGTTAATACCTGACATTATTTCATTTGGCAACACAAACATTTTTCTTTAAGGCTGTGAGTTAAAAGAAAAAAACCTATTTGGTAAGCTAGTTCTTAAATTCTGTTGATGGAGTTACTTCTTTAAAAGGAATAGTTAGTGTTTCATCATTAATTGCTTGACATTCTTTATGTTCTTGGGACAAAATTATTTGTTCTATCTTTGCTATGAATTGTGAAGCCCAACAATGATTTAAAGGAAAATATTCAACAACATATTTTGGTTACAGGGCACAAATATGCCCATTCCACTAACTTAAAAAAGTAAAACATCAACAACTAGCTTCCCCAAAAGAAAAAAATTACGAAATATTGACAAATATTTGTGTCTACATGTGGATCATTGAGTCGAATTAAGAACAATCGCGATCCTAATCCCCTAGTAACTGGTGATATAGAATTTTGGGAGAAGCTTTTACTTTCCAAAGGAAATTACAAACTCTATATTGAATTTTCTCTTCAAATTAAAAAGAAAACAATGCAGCAAGTCATTAGTTGCATTTCTAAATCTTTCAAATGTAAGAATTATAAGCAAATACCAACCTTTCAGATGCATTAGTCTCTTGTCATATATATTCAAGACATTTAGAGTTTTTGGGTGTTTAAAGAGGCAGGAAATGCCAATGCCAATGCCAATGACACATCATACATAACATTATGATGAACAAATAAATGTAGGCAAAAGAAATTGATTTAAATATCCATTTTCAAAATCAAAGAAACAGATTTTAACATCTGAATAAGAAGGTGCGTACCTCCTTCTACTCGAAAAGTGGTTGAGACGTTCTGACGGAGAAAACATTATAAGGGCAATTTCAATATCACAAAGGACGGATAACTCGTACGCTTTCTTGATGAGACCATTTCTTCGTTTTGAGAATGTAACTTGTCGATTCGTAACGTTCTCTATTTTCTTTATCTCAAGTTTAACACGACCCATCTCAATTGATGATTTATTATCTATAAACTCTCAAGTATGTATGAATGCACTCATGCAAAAATTGGAAAAGAAGAATCTGGAGGAAGAAATCTAAATTGCCCTCTCTTTTTTTCAAAAAGTGAGAAAAACTGGAAAATTTTAATATATGAAAACATTCATGAAGAACCTTAAAAGAAGGAACAGTTGGATAGGAGAGAGAGAGAAGGGAATGGTTGTAAATGGGAGAGAGGAGAAAAGGAAGGGAGGCGGAGAGATTGATGAGATTATAAGGAAAGGGTCACAGCTCCTCTGGCTCATTTCATTGTTGACACATTAAAAAGTGCAATGAAACAAAGCAAGCCATTAGTTCGCTCCATTTTCGACTTTGGTTCATTGGAGTAGAAATATCATTACTCTATCGTCTTTGAATTTGCTTTATTAAAAATGTTTTATGTGCAATTTTTGGAGTGTATTTTGAAATGTTTATATAGAAAAGATAAGAGTAAGTAAATTTTTTTTAAAATTATATATAATATCACATACCATATGAAGTTTTATTATTCAAATTTCAAATAATAAAAGTAATGCCATTTTAAAGTGTTCGGAATAGTATAGATTAATTTCACCATCTCTCTATTTCAAATATTATCATCAATTTTTTTTACCAGAAACAAATAACTAATTTACTATGACCAACATTAGCAATTAATTCATCTAAACTATAATTTTATAAACATTCAAAGTATAAAAAAATTTAATGTATATAAAGATATATTTTTATTTTAAAAATTATGATTAAAAAATGATAGTTATTTCTTAGTAAAAGAACTAGAGATTATAACTATCACTCGTGTTGGATCATAAAATATTTTGCTGGATCAGTCAAATAAGCATCTAGTGTGTACTACATTCATTAATTATTATTGCATCATTAATTTTTTTTATCATTTAATAGTCATATATAAATTAATTTTTACCAAATTGCAACCAGAAAATCATTGTAGAGAACATTGAAGAATAAATATTATATCTAAAAATATTTTTTAAAAAACAATATTCTAACAATTTGTGTTGATTTAACTTCTGAAAGTTATGCAAAAATATTTAGTTTGGGATAAAAGAGATGGGGTGGCCTAAAAGTCCCCTCGAGGCAGGTTTGGAGATGAGAATCATACTCTTTGTCGTATAGAATTCTCATTCCTAAAATACTATTAAACAGCCCTAATTATATATACATTTGCGTGTGTATATATTTTAGTAACTTTAAATAATATGTGGTATTGAAAACAAAAATTAACAATTACACAATTATTAACTAGCTTCTACCCACTTCTTTCTTTCACTCTTAAATTCCCCTTTTAAAATTAACAATTTGGCTCTCTTATTTTCATTTTTCTAAAGAAAATAACTCATGAGACTTTATTCATGCCACCATATCGTAATATAAATTTGAAAGCCCACCGAGGACTTACTGAGAAGAAGAGAACAGTGTCTGAGAAGAAGGTTGAGCAAAGAGATGGGAGTACTCCCCCGAGTCCCCTCCTTTACAAGAGCGTCCTTATATTGAGCTCTTAAATGTGTTAAATGGATAATTAATTAGTCGTTTTGTAAGCTTAATTCCTACCAAAAAAAATGTGTTCATATTTATTGATCTAAAATATGTTAATCTTCACATTGAGAGGAGTAATTAGTTATAAATTAACATATTTGAAATTAAATTATATGCACAAACTTTTATGGTATTATTTTTATCAATTTTTTTAAAGTGTGTTAATAAATATAAAAATGTGAAAATTTTAACATTTAATATCATTAAGGCATTAGATCCTGTATTTCTTTTTAAATAAGAACATATTATAAACAGATTCTTATGTGAATATTGGAACACATAATACCAAAATCATTTTTTTCTAATGAATTTTATCCTAAGTTGAACAGTGGTTAAATACACCTGTTCTTGATTAAAAAAAAATACAATATTAAATTTTATTCAGCTCATAATTTTTTATTTGTGTACACTTTATCATTATATTGCTACAATCCGTTAATGGTTACAAATTCAGTTACTAAATGTGACTAAATGAGTGGTAGCGAATTTATTCGCTAAATGTGATAGATATTATGGTTGCTAAGTCTACTTCTCAGTAAAAAAAATATAATCTATTTTTTATGAAAGACATTAATAACAGTTTTTCAACAACTAAGACTAGCTGTGCATTTTTAATTTGCCTAAACTTCAAATTGTTCAACAAACACAGCACTAGTTCAACAAAAATAAATAATATATATTATGACCACGTAACAAAAATCTAACTGTATAAAATAGAGGCATAAAGAAGACTTACAATACTTGTAACTAAGTATAACAACTTCTTCAAAATCTTGAATGTGTCTTTGACAACAAAGATTGAAACAATTAAAACTAGGTACTCATCTACTGTGAAATATGAAATGGAAAAAATAAAACCTAGGTACTCATCTACTGTTAAATATGAATTACTGTTTGGCACTTAAAACATATTCAAGCAACAAGGACATCAATATCATTTGCCAAAGGATGTTTTCTTCCTCTTCCCGTGGAGCATGGATAGTAATAAGATCAGGGACAGGAGTTCTAGGATCCTGTTTTCCTTCAAGATCCTAATCAAGCATCATCTTCAATACCAAGATCACCCCACGAGACAGTGAGAAGAAAAAACAAAACAATTAAGGTCACACTCCATGTTAAAACAAAATACATCACAACCAGAGAAGGAAATTCAATCATTAACAAGAATAAAAACAAACTAACTCGTCCAAGGAGAACATGTCTCACTGCAGAGTCAATATCAATCAGCAATTATTACACAAAAGTAATAAATCCAAAACTGCTATCATAGACCATTCTCACATTATCACCATTGTGTGTTTCTTTGTATCAAAAGTTTTATCCCTAAAATATCAAATAAAAAAATATATCAAATCCTACAACAAAAAACAGAAACTTAGTACTGTTGTGTATGTTTACTTCACTACCTACGCGCTACATATAAAGATAAGTCCTCTGATAATGAGATGCACAATTGTGTCGGTCCTTATTTAGTTAGCAATTAGGATGAATCCAAGAACGTACTTTAATTGTTAAATGTTCAAGTAAGAAGGATTTATTGTACATGATTTTGGCAAAAAGGAAAAAAAGCAATAATAGCTAAAGTATCAAAATAAAGCTAATCAAAATATTATTTTATAGTCAACAACTGCAAGTTGCAAAACAACTTCTACATTTTGTGCTGCTGTTGTCATGGGTACAATAAGGAGAGAAAATAAAAGAGAATGTGTTTTACCATATTTGCATTAGCCTTAGGCCTGCTGCAGAATGTAATTCAATGTAAACTATAATCCCCTAGCGCACCAATCCGAAGAAAAACCAATTGATACAATATAGAATCAATAAACGCACAATTTGTCACAAGAAATCAAAGAAACAAAATAACTCAAGAACCACCAGAGATTGATCTAGGAAAGAGATAATTACTTTAAGGAGCGTGCGCACACATATCCTAGAAATCCTAGCAAAGTGTTTAACCACTATCAATTTTAGCATGCAAAATATCCCCACAAGGACTTCCACAACTTATATATAAAATTATTCTACTGTGCTAGCAGTGGATTTCCACATAATTCTATACTAGCATATTGAATCATTTAACCTATCAACTCAAAATTATTTTTTAGTATAAACTAGACACTAGATGCATCAAATTAATTAAAATTAAACCCATTCAAAGGTGCTGTAAAATCTATTTTCAAATCATATCAAATGTACAAGCAAATTCAATAGCACTAATCAATGAGCAATGAATACCCATATCAAATGTGTGCAAAGGAAATAAACTCACTGATATCAACTTGGTCATCTCATCAGCTTCCAAGAAAATGATGTATCAAAACGAAGAAGTTGAAAAATTTAGAAACATGTATAAATCTACAAACTAGAAATATCTCGAGCCTACTAATATACCCTGTGCAATTTCCGAATCAGCTCATTAACTTTCTCTCTTTCAGTTTTTATTTTGTTTTTCACTTGTTTATTCATCAAAACGAATCTTAAATTCAAACCATGGATTTCTCAAACTCGTCCTTCGTCAATGAGGACCGCAAATGCGACTTTTGTTCAACGTTGCTCAAGCCTAGTAATCATCTTCACAGAACTGCGTCACAACCACTGCAAACCATTACCAGTCCAACGTCAATGCCCAAATCACTGCAACCACCGCGACACACCGCGAACAAGATTTGTGCCGCCACTGTTGGGAAGAGAAGGGTTTGAGGGAAAGGCGAGACATGTGTAATATGCAGGTAAAGAGAGGGCAAGAAATGGAGGCTAAGAGACTGAGGGAAAGAGAAACAAACTGTGTATTTATATATTTTTATATTTAAAAGATTATGAAAACATTTAAAACTTTTACTCTAAAAATATATAAAATATAATTTTTCTTGACCTTTTAAGACTAACATCTTTTTCTCTTTCTAATCTTTTTTAATATTTATATTTTTAACTCTAAATTAACATTTCTTTATTTTTCACCTGTTGTTTGTGCAAAAAAAATTATTTTTTATTTTTTCTAATTTTATTTATTTATTTTATAAATACATATTTATTTTGGTCTATGTTATTGATACCTGAATGAACAATGAAAATGTTATGATATTAAAATAATATACGAGAAAAAAATTAAAATAAATTATAATTTTCTATCTTAGAAAATAATCACAGTTGGTTTAAGTTATTATAATGAAAATTAATTCTATACATAATTGATAATATGAAATTAAAATAATTTTAAATATTATTCCAGTAAAACTTAGTTATTATTACAAATGAAAACGGAATTAGAAGTTATGGTTAAGAAACAAGAGTGACGAATATACGGCAGCGAACAAACATCCTTTAGGCCTTCTATCTTTTATTACCATGTGATCAACAATATGTGACGTTTCAACACCACAATTGTATTTAGGCAAGCCACAAAAAATGACTAGATTATTACATACAAAATCACTAAATAGCAAATTATTACATACACTTAATTTATTCTATTATCTCTCTTTCCTCTCTCTCTTCTCTATTTTTATACATTTTTAAAAAAAATTATTTTTATATATTTTGAAAATTAAAAAATATATAAAATTATTTATACAAAATAAAAAAATTAAAATTTAATTTAATAAATATATACAAAAGAGTAATTTTTTCATTTTTTATATATTCGTTATATTTCTTTTTCTATCAAATCTGCATCAAATATTAAATATAATTAAAACTTATTATATTCTGATCTTATTTTACTCTTATCTATTCCTCATGTTCATCCTAATCTTATCTTGACTACTAAACGAACTTTAAGTATAAAAATAAGTAAAAATAAGACAACTTACACTCACTTAACTTGAAAGAAAAGTTAAATAAATCTCACAAAAGCAACTTAGTCTCAAATAAACAAGCACCCTAATTTGTATAAACACCAAAACATAACAAAAATATTTCTGTAGAGTATAACATTATTTTTTAGATTTTGCCGGTAAAACACTATCAATATAAATGACCAAAATGTAACAAAAAATGCTTGTACAAAGTCTAAAATATTGACGTTTTAAATACAAAAACTAATTTGTAAACATGAAACAATCATAACAATGAAATAAATAATTTAACTATTTCTTAATATATACTTATAAAAATTTAAAATTAAGTATTTTAATAAATAAACTCTTTTCATAAATAAAATTAACTTACATTTTCTTTTGTTTTTTATACATTCTTTTATTTATCTTTTCTAAAATTTGAAAAATATAAATTATTTTTACTCGAACTGGATCCGAGACAATAATTAGGCCAAAAATAATATCAATAGGCGGAGAGGAGGGGGTTGTACTAGCAAAATAAAATGATAAATAGATTAAAAAGGCCTACAAACCGAAAGAATATACCAAAATAAATATAAGTATCTCACTAAGCCGAATAGATACAACAGCCTACAAAATTGAAAAAGCAAAAACCGCACAACGGTCGAGTCAGGAAAGGAGAGAAATTTACAAGTGAATCAGATACACAAAACAAGATAACCAAAGCCAACAGTGACACATATCATTAACAATGAAATCAAGGAATGCCTAGAGGAATGTCCAGGTGTGGCTGCAGAGGATTTGGAGGATGCATGTCCGGCGACGGCGGGTGGCACGCTACGACTGTTAGGGAAACTCTGCTGCTGATTGGCTGGTAAAGGATTTGTTGATCCACCACCAGATGATGAGAAATTTGCTCTATCTCCTGTGCTATCTTGACCTGCATCTTCTGAGAGATTAGCATCCACTACAAGTTCATAGACTAGGAGCAAATGAAAGAGCCGTAGATAGCATGAAATATATAATAGCGTTTTCAGATTTCAATAGAATTGATTCCTAAAGAAATTATTTATTGAAAAAATTGAGGTTAAAAAATTTGATTTGTTGTTGAGCATGATCAAGTAGAATTACTGTTTGAGTGTAGATATAATTTACAGGTTCCATGCTCAAAATCAATTATTTTCAATGGAAAAGCTAAAAGCCTAAAACTTTTCATTTATCCTAGAATCACATTTACTCTGCAGAATTGATTTTGAAACCAAAAAACAGTTTCCAAATAATGCACCCGAGGTGAATTGTTTACTGTTATTCTGATTTAACCCAACAGACTTATAAGATGGTCCAACAAAACTTATAAGTAGCTAGCCTTCACGTAGGCCATGCAGTTATTAACAAGGGTTTTGCTACAAAAAATCCAGGTAACTACTATGAGGGATATACCTACAGCTCTAAGTCTCTTTACAAGCTATAAAGCACAAACTTCGACATGACACGGACACACTGACATGGCTAATGCCTATAAAACACTTGAGACATTACTTTTTAATATTTTACGTTATATTTTAAGGCAACTTTTCTAGAAGTTAAATAATTTTTTAAATAATACTTATGTGTCCATCCATATTGAAGCGCATGTAGAGTTCATCATGTCTATCAATTACTTGTAGAGTACATACCCAAAACAGAATTTTATAAAATAATTGCATCTATCATTTTCTTGCACTCCTTTTTTTGAAGCATCACTATCGCTATTCTTCCATATGGCAAAACAAATTACCAGTAAAAGGATCCAAACTATGTAGAAGCAGGAGATCTTTTTAAAAAGATTTGGGGAGAATTACAGGTTAAATTTTTTAAGTGAAAGAAATATACTCACAATTTGATCTAGACCAGCCAAACCGTAGATTCTCCCAATCAAAGACTGTGCGATATCCTATAAGGAAATTTTCTGAAACAAAAATGTCAATAAAAGGCCACAGTCATTGTCAGCCAGCAGAAGGGTGTGTGAGCATGTGCATACATGCATTGACTTGTGTGCGCAGTTATATGCATTGCTCATGAACTTGAGCTACTAGATGCATGTTTCTTGAAGAGAAAAAGGAGAAAAAAAGAAAGAAATAGAAAACATTAAAAAAATGCAACAAGGGAAAAGGAAAGAAAATAGAAGCCACGACAAGATAAAAGAAATGTGATTTGGTTTCAGGTATCGCAGGCAGTGATATACTCACGTCCAATGGTACAATAGTCATCTTCAGACTGGATTACAGTCAAACAAAAGATGGTGTATTCCTGCACCAGAAGTTTGCATTTCATCAAAATTATGAGTTGGAAATAATTTTTGGGAAGACAAGAAAAGATTCTGCAAGAAAAAGTTATAAATTTAAAATTGTAACAAAATCCCAGCTGATACGAGGAGAAATTTGAGAGTGGACACTTGACAATTATTCATATGACATCATATTCATTTGTTAAACTCCGTGACAACACTTTTCTCTTCCAAGAGTCAGAAGAAACTATAAAGAAAGGAGAAGCTTGTCTTAGGTCAGACCGAAAACATTTATATCCCATAAGAACTGTTGAAAACAACCAACATCAAAAGAAACATATATTTGTTTATCTTGTAGTGTACTTCACCACCTATTTATTAATATCAGGAAGACAAAGTGTGCGTTTGGATTGGCATCAAATTCACTCAAACGTGGATTCATTTCAACACTGTAATTATAAATTTAACATTGAGATGAAGTTTAACATTATTTTAATTAATTTTCAAACACACTTATAATTGTTAAATCAAAGAAACAATTTTGCCTCATAAATGAGTGATGTTTACATAATATCAGAACCTTCAAAAGCTCAACTTCAAACTCATCCATCTCTGTCTCTCAAACACTCTCCCTAAAGATTCTCCACCACAATTATTTGCTTTGGAATTCAATTGCACAGATTTTCTATCATCTGGAAATTTCAAGCAGCAGCTTTGGAATACTTGAAAGATGATTTTTTTTTGTTGTTGTTGATTTTTCTTGTGAATTCAGTGAAAGATAGAAGCTTCATTCCAAAAAAATTTCACCATATTCTTTTTCTCCTGTAATTTTTAAGCTACAATCAAACTCAGCCTCAACATAAAGATTCATTTTCTGTCAATAGCAGTCTCTAGAAGCCAAAGTACCTCTCACCACATAACAAAAATCAACACTTTCTATATACAAATGGACGGTTATTTTTTACCTCATTTATGATCAATATCTAAAAATTAACTCAAAAGTTTAATCAAATACACTTACATTTATATCAAAAAGAAGAGGGAGAAAATTGGAAATTTAGGCTACCTGACTTTCAGAATAAGTCAATATTGGATTTTGAATTGAAAATGTTTGATTCCTAGAGAAAGTGAGCTTCAAAGGGGGAGTGTTAATTAACTCCTGTGAACTGTCACATGAAAAACAACCAACTTAAAATGAAAAGTTAGATGCAGCCTTATAAAACCTAAATGCCAAATGTCCAGTAACTAACCTGGCATTATAGCAGTACTCCCATGGGAATTGTTGGAGACTAATCCTGGTTGCATTTACTTGTTTGTCAAACTGTATTCAGTGAAGATAATTTTAGCCAAGTTTATGCATAATCATACACCACTATATTATGATAAAAGTAATTACCTCTGCTACAACTTTTTCATAAACTTTATCTGGAAGATATGTGAAAGAGGTTCCACTGTCAATAAGTGCTTGCAACCTGGCTTCCTTGAAACATAAACTCCCAACACACAAGCTTTCTACTCCAACAAAATAGCCAATACTGCAGCAACACAAACCAATGAGGGTAGGAACATGCATAGAAATTGATCTAAAAATAAGTAGCAGGTCAAGAGCATTAAATGCAACACATACAAATCCCCATCCGCAACCAAGAATGGTGTAGAATGTTGGGTAACATGCCCTTGATCGCCAAAGAGAATTCTCCCAGATTCATTCTCATTCAAACAAATTGAAAAGGAATTCCGAATAATTCCAGCCTTTGCTAACAAACTTGGGACAGAAAGGCTTCCCGGTCCTAGCCCTAAAACACCATCAGGAGCAACTCCTTCTAAATAGTCACCAGTTTGCTTCCTTCCACAACTGTACTCATAAAAATCAAATACAGTGAGCACTTATGCAAATCAAACTAATGGCTTGTTCCTGGCCAACATATCAAACATCAAAGAACAAAAGAGTATGATAATTTTGGGCAATCATCAACAAACCCTAAAATGATAGAGGCTTCCACAGAATTTTGTTCTCCATGTCTGCCATAGGAAGCCAAATGTAGTTTGTCCTCAATAAGATATCCAGAAGTTGAGGTATTATCTGAGACATACTGAACAATATAAGGGCATGGATCCTTAGAACCTTTGCAAAGGGAACTTAGATTGCACAACTGATGACCGCAAGGTAAATGTCTGCTGGTACTGGACAATGATGGTCTATACTGATTAAGATCCCTATCCTGCATCAGAGATGCCCCATATAAAAGGGAGCATCTGCCAATCAATCATTGAAATTAACTGCTAAATTTCTTACCGCTCTCAGGAGAACTGTTGAAGAAGTCCAAATAAGAACATTCAAAATGTATTTTTATTTACTCTTAAGAAATTAGAATCTAGGGAGAATGTAATTAACAGATTGCCAAGAAACATGGATAAAATGACACAGGACATGAGCACAGACACTCATGCTATGATACGAACAATGTTTCAAGTGTCATTAGAATTTTGAGAGCAGCATCGTACAATCAATACACGTCCTAGTTTTTAAGCGTTCTTGATTTTCCAAATAAAAATCACAATATACCACTTTTTCATTAATAATAGAATAGATATGTATGCATTAGTCCCTAGCATATTCTTAATCTCCAAACCTCTCTACCTTGCATGAGTCCATATTGCTTGCTACAAAAGGGATGTTTAACAGCTGAATCCCATACACTTGCATTACAAGATAAATGATTCACAAAATAAATAGGCCATTCAATGTGAAGAACAAAAGACAAAACTATAAGCTATATGTGGTAATAATGAAGTTCATTGCAGTAATGACATAACACAAAATCATTGAGAGATGGAAAAGTACTGAAAGAAATAAAGGCAAATGGAATTCAAATCATAGACCTACAAGCACATTGTAATGTCCGGGTGACAAGGAAGCACATTCAATGCAGTCACAGGGAACCCAAAGCAGATCACTTCCAGCATCCAACGCAACAAGAAATGAAACATTTGGAGTTCCTACATCAATCCACGTGTAATGCAACCTGAAATTCAACAATTAACAACGTCATACCCCATTATCAAACTTCATCATCATCTACTCGATCCCCTTCTATCTCCTATTTCTATGCATTTAACTAGTAAAAACAAAAGTTGCCACTTCAAACCATTTCAAATTTTACCCCACAGCGTGCACCTTAATAACTTCTCCCAGTCATGGTAAAGGCCCGGAAATTTCAAGCAAAGTTTTCTCTTCACAACAACAACAGCAACAATAACAAATAAATAAATAATGTGTTTTCAAGTTGTGTTTCGATTCGTATACATCTACCCAGCACTTCCACCTTTTCTTCTCCTCAATTTTTTCCCTACATTTCTCTTTATGTCACATCAAATTTCATGCATCTTTGACTTCTCTCTCTTTTCTTCCCATCTCTCACTAATTATACAGACTGCCATTTTCCTTTAAGAACAGTAAAACGAAGCTTGTTAATTCAAAGTTGGCATAACATGCTCAACTACATAAGCTCATATAATAAAAAATATTACCTAAGTATGGAACAAAAGACTAAAACTTTAGATCCCTGAGACTCACCAACCAAACGCATTTCCAAAGTAGAAGGTCTGGCTTCCTTCAGAAGAGTACAAAGACTCATACTGTGAACCAAGCTTCATCCTCTGCCGTGTCATGTCACTGCTAAAAAGAAACCTGAAATACTCAGAACTGTTCCTCTTAGGCCAACTTTGAAGCACAGAACCGTTGGTCCTTGAAGCCAAATGAGCCTTGGCCTCCTCAGAGAAGCGGTGAACAAGCCTAGAAGAAAATGTGGCACCAACTACACCCTCCAACGCAAGACCCTTGGCCAGCAGCAGCCAAAGAAGAAGACTAATCGCCATGAAAGGGAAAACTCAAAGAACCCAACTTAAGCTCAGGTTTAGTTGCACAAGTAACAGTTACACCAAGCAAAATCCAAATGAGTATGTGAAAAAAGGGTTAATTTTGAGGAAAATGGGGTCTGATCTTGAAATTTGGAGGTGGGGTGGTGCAAAGTTTTAAGCTTTTCTTTTGTTTTTTCGTTGAGAGAAGAGAGGGTAGTGTAGAGAGGTGGTGGGGTGCGCAGTGTGCACCTTTGTGGTTTCCAATAATGTTTTCCCGTGAACGTGGCGAAGGGATAGAGTGGGGAGGCATGGGTCTAATCTATCCTATGAACTCTGTTCTGTGGAGTTTCTTTTGTTTATTAATTATGATTTTAAAAAAAAAAAGAATGTTAAACAAATGGCTGGAGGTTTTGTGATTATTCGGGAGCATAAGGCATCAGTTTTTAAGATTAAAATTAAATTTATAAAACTAATAAATATTATATTTTGAACTTTAAATAAAAATTAAGTTATTTTAATAAAAATTATATAATTTAATAATTCTGTATAATTATTAAATTTAATTTATTTATTTAAAAGATTAAAATATTTTTAAAATAAATAAAATTATACAAATTAAAAATTATGAATTTAGGTAAATTAATGTTTTTATTAAAATTAAGATTTTATTAAGAAATTATTATTATTATTACAATTTTAATATAATAAACTTATCTTTATTGAAATATTACTATTTTTAAATATTGAAACTCAAGATATGTTAATAAATGTCATTTTTATATAACCAAATATAATTTTTATTATTTTTAATTAATACTTAAAATTTTGTTAACATTACTTTTTAAAATTAAATTTAAAAATAAAAAAAGAAATATTTGTTGTTAAAATTAGATTTAGTATATTAAAATTATAAAAGTGAAATAAATAAAAAATTTATTAATAATTTCTTAAACTGAATGTTAGAGCCTGAAATTAACGACTTTGTTATTTATTTAAAAAAAATAAAAAGTTAGAATAAATAAGAGGCGGAGGAGTGTGGAGAATGACGAAGCGGTTGTTAAGGAAATAGAAGGCACGTAGAACGAGGAGACAGCTGAAAACACGTAATTTATATAACACGTGTCTCTCTTAGTAAAGAAGGTGGTGTAGTTGGGGGGATTCTGTTGATTTTTGAATTGAAAAGGTTGATTTTTGAATTGTAAAAGAATAGACAATCATAATGGATGGAGAGCCAAGTGAGGCAAAATGTTCTTTTCTTCCAAACTCCTACCCGTTACCCTCCTAATCTACTATCCTACATCAAGCAAGGGCTACTCGTACCATAATATAAATTAATAAACGAATAAATATTATTATCTATGCTTATAATTTTACATATTAAAACAGATTTTTTCAAAAATAAAATTTAAACAAAATTGTACTTTAATTTTTTTTAGGTTAGTTTTATGTGTAATTTTTTAATTATTTTTTACTTTTAAAATTAAGCAAATTAATTTAGTATTTCGAGCAATACATAAGTACTTTATTTAGAATATATATTATATATAATTTAATAATTAAAAAATTATATATTTGTAAATAATTATGTTTATAATAAAATTATTTTAATTAATAAATTTTAAATTCTATAACTATAAATAATACTTGCAAAATAATAAAAATTAAATAAAAATATTTTAAAATATAATTTTTTAAATAATATTTTTATTGTATAATATTAACAAAAAATTTTAGTTAAGGGTCAATACTATATATATATATATATATATATATATATATATATATATAAATTAAAAATATTCGTACATAAGACCTTAAAATTAAGTTTTAAATTTTTAAAAATATAAAATAAACTAAGATAATTTTTATAAATTTAAAAATAAGTTTTATGAAAATTATAAAAAATTTATGTAAAATAATAAAGAAAAGTTAAATAACAACTTTAACAAGAAAGATTATAATTCGTACTTTATTCTCAATCAATTTTATTAATTTTAAAATATATATGTTACAAACTATGAAAAGAATTGTTCTAATAAAAGTTCATTTCTCAGATAATAAATCATCATTTATAGTATAAAAGTTGACATAGTTCTGTTTTTCGATTGTAAATGTTAAATTCTTATTTTTATTTGATATTATCCACTAATTGAATCAATTAAATTTATTTAAACATTCATTTACTTAAAACTCATAATTTAAAATATCAATTTTTATTAAAATATTCAAAAATAAAAAATATTATTCTTCAGACCTTAATATATCATTTAACAATTTTAATTCTTATCAAATTTTCAAAACAGAAAAAATTTACTTCTAAATACTTAAAATTACTTTTTATCATAAATCTATAAAAAGTTATAAAAAAATAATTACATTTAAGTAGCTAATCACTTATTCTAAATCTATCTATCTCTAATAATCATCATGCAATATTGACAATTATTTTTAATAATTGTCACCAATCTTTATGCAAGATATAGAATTTAACAAGTATTGTGATTTAATAATATTTTTAAATCACTAATTCATTGATAATTTATGATTAAAATTGATCTTACAAAATCCTAAACTTCGTTTGCTTCGCAAATCTATTAATTGATAATAATTTGATTGTTTTTGCAATGATTACATCTTCATAAAAATTAAAGTAGTCAAATAAATCTAATTGAAACATAAGCATAAATTCATTAAAAGAAAAAAAAAAAACAAAGTTTGCAACATAAGATTCATCTATCGCTAAATATGGATTTAGTAATACATAATGAGTTTCATAATCAAAACAAAGATAACATGTGAAATCAAAATGAAAAAAGTAAAAAAGCAAAAAAGAAAAACTCTTGTCAAAGTGACAGGTTGAGAAAAATAATGGATCTCAAGATTAAATTAAAAATAGACATAAACATTAATGTAATATTTAGCATCAATTTATTAATGACAGTTATAAAAAATTGTCAATAAAATACTTAAAAACTAATATTTAATGTTAGTTTTAGTAATGATTTGGATCTCTGCAGTTTTGGAAGGAATTGTAGTCTACATATTAAATTCACTAAAGTGAAACAAAAGTTGTTTACATAAATTTGGCAAAAAATGATTTTGACTTGAGTTAAAATTACAAAAAAATTCAAAATTTCATATTCTTTTTCTCTAAACTACAAAAATATCGAGGAACCTTTATTTCTCAATAATGATTACGTAGTTATTAAAGACTCTTACATATATCATTCCCACAAAATATTCCAAATGTACTATATAGTGTTCTACTTGTATTAAACATTAGTGAGATAGAATCATTTGGAATCACGTTAAATTGTTTAGAATAATGATAATGATTATTTGATAAATTGGTGGAGAAATAGTTGCATTATTATATTTTGAAATACTTAAATTTTTGTGGTACTACCATAAAGTGTGATATTGCACAAATATTTTTTAATTTTTTTTTATAGTTTAGAGAGAAATAAGATAAAGTTTTAAATTTTTTCACAATTTTGGCTTAAGCGAATGTTTTAGCTTAAGCAAAAATTAAATTTTTATTAAATTCGCTTAAGCAAATATTTTTTACTTAAGTCAAAATTACTTTTTACCAAATTCGCTTAAACGAAGCTAAATTTACTTAAATTAATTTAAATTACAAGATGCAATTTCTTTCAAAACTGCAGAGAATCCTAATAAATAAAAGAATTTTAACATTAGCTTGAGATAATTATTGATAAAAAATAAAAATTTAACGTCAATTTGAGATAACTATTGACAAAAATAAGAAATTTAGCATTGATTTATATAATCACTAACAAATAGATAGATTTTAATGTCAATTTGAGATATCTAGTAATAAAAATAAAGAATTTAAAGTCAATTTAAGATGACTGCTAAAAAAATAAAAAAAATATATAACTTAAAGAACATGACTAATTTATTTTATATATGTTTTCTATCACTCACTTAAAGCTATCTTTCAATCTTATTTCAGTCTCATTAATGAGTTTTCCCATCACCTTCCTCTCTATTATTGTCGCTACTATAAAAGTGTCTTCTAATATGACAATTGGATTTCTAGTAATCCTCTGTCATTACTTCCTTTAAATGACTTGTATTATATATTATATAATATATATGATATAATGTTAATATGAATGAAAAATGTAGAGAAAAGAGAAGATGTAAAATAAAAAAAAATTGAAAAATGCAATGCTCTTCCTCACATATTTTGATATTTAAATTTTAAAATTTAATGACAATTTAAATTTGTCACTAAATAATTGTTGTAAATTACTAAAAAAATTAAAAAAACAGCAAAAATTGTGATTAATTGAAAATTTTAAGCATTGATGTTTTTTAGTTAGTTATGATAAATATTTATCAAAATTATGAGATGATGAAGATATATTAGAGATACGTAGTTATTGATAACCTTAAATGTTTACCAAAATTACGTCTTTAGTTGTGCACAATCACTCAATTATGTATACAATCGACGTTAGGGCATGCATAACTTGGATGGCCGTTCAAGCAATCATGAATGGTCGACTTTTACCTATTCTTGTCATTTTCTTATTGAAAATTGCTCTGAAAACACTACTACTGTTCTATTCCTTTTTAATTCTGCATAAAGATCATAAATTAAGTGAAAATGAAGATCTAACACTCGTAAGCATAACTAAATTTACTTAAAATATACAAGATAAAAAAGTATAATTGACAGTTTATTAACCTATTAAAGAAATCAATATTAGGAAGGCCTATAACTTTTTATAGTTTTTATTTAAAATATTAAAAATTGACATTGAATGTACTATTATTTTTATCTCTAGCTTAGTTTTTGGACGTTTTGTATACATACATTCAAAAAATATAACCTCGAGGGATTTGTAAGTGAAACAAGATAGGGTCTTGCATTTAACAAATATTCAAACTCGCATTTGTTTCCTTGAGATGAGGTAAATGTAAGTTTTTTATAAGTGCTACTTGAGCTAATTAAACAACTTTCTATATCTTTAAACGATAAATTATCCTTTCCTCCTACTATTATTCTTCCCATTATACAGATACACACCCTAAGTATAAAGGCGATATCACCTCCCAGTAAGTACTTGAAACATTTTCCCAAGTTTTAGTAACAAGCAATCTAATTATGTAATGATTAAAAATAACATAACAATTAGATATTAACGTAAAATTAATGTCATATATTAAAATTTTGCAATGTAAGCTAAACATATCAACTAGTTAATGACATTCAGTAATATTACAGGTAAAATGAAAATATACCATGTTCATATTCTTATTTTAATACCTCAATACTTAAAAATAACATGCTTAGTAAGATACAATATCCTAGATCTAATTAAGCAACTCAGTTAGCAAGTGGATGACGCTCCATGCATGTGCAGCAGGGAATCACAATCCACGATATGCACTTAGCCTAGATACTTCTAGAATAGTCAGTAGTTATAAGAACTATGCCATGTTAATTCCTAATTTATTTTTAAGAAAAATGGAGGATGACTTCTCCTTAGTTTGTTATTATTGGCTAAGATTTTTCAAACTTTTTTAAGAAAGATAACAAACATGCTCTTATACTTCTGTTCTTACTCTTTTTACGAGTGCTTTTATTCTTGCTTTCATAATTGGTCTATGGTTCCTAAACAAAACAAATCTATGTATTTATATTTTTACTTTTTTATTAAAATATGGTATCATTTCAATAAGAATAATGTAATACATGATTGTACTTAAACTGTGAACTATTTCACAGTTAAATCATATTCATTCATTTGTTATGTATCAAATCAACGGTCTAGGGCGTTTGGAGAAGTCAACCTTCACATTTCATTTTGAAAATATAGGAAGGATGCTATAATTCACCTAAAATGTGTTGAAGGTATAAGAAGGAATAAAACACAGATTTCTTTAAAGCTATTAATTTATATTTTTTTTTATCTTCATTCTTATTTTATGACTTTTTTTATTCATATTTTATCTCAATAAACTCTCTTTAAAATTTGAATTCTTTTTACCTAAACAAACTATTAGTTCTAATTCCATTAATTCTAATAACATTTGTTCACTGCTCAACTTTTTTATTTTTACCTGAAGTGAGTGAAGACTCAATTTAATGTAGTAGGTAAGAATACTAAGGTACTTTTAACTGAGTCACCCATGTAGGCTTAGAATCTAAGCTTTAAAAAGAGAAAAACACAAGTCACCAACATGAGTTAATTCCACGTACTGTTAATGGAATGCCTTTGCATATTCATCCCCCGTTTCCTGGTGAATGTTCCAACATCAATCCTTCAAACCTCGCAGAAAGGAAGCCTGAGGGTCCTGCTACTGTTTAAGCTCTGCGAAGAGCGTTCAGATCCTAAGCTTTTTTCATGAGTCACTTTAAAAAGTTGTCAATTGTTATTCAACCCTAGACATGCAATGTCCATTTTTTTTAATTCTCAGTGTAATTTTGTCATATCAACTTATTAAAATATATTGTATTGTAATTTTTATACTTATTCTTATAAAAATTAATAATTCATATTCATATAATAAATTGTGACTAAATATTTACATTTTTTTTACATTATCAATATATTTAAGTTAATTTTTTTTATAAAATTCTTATTGTAATATCCAAAGTTAATAAATATTTATTATTCTATCCTTTTAAACTACCTTAGAAAGTATACATTTTTTAAAATAACTGTTGATTTATAAAACTAAAATTGGAATAATTTCTTATTTTAGTATCTCTATTATATAAAATATGAAAGTATTAATAAAGTAAAAACAATATAATCAATTAAATTTATATTTTATCAAATTAAAAATATTTCATTTATTATTTTAATTAAAATCTTATATCATAATTGTTTTTTATTGCATGGTGAAAGACAAATAATAAAAATCTACATAAAATAATTTTTTTATTAAAAATCATAACATAGCACAAAATTTTATGTATAAAATTAAATACTATATTTTTTATTAAAATTTATTATTTAAATTTATTTTTAATAAGTAATTAAGTGTATCAGTTAAAAATTAATAAACAAAACATTTTTATAATAAATTTTGTTAAAAGTGTATCAAAAATTAAGGTGATAATATTTTTGATAAAAAAATATTTTTAATTTAGGTGACTTTTGTTAAATTTAATTGCTACAAAATAATAAATAAGTAATTAGCATCAGTATTTCTTTACCAATTGTTAAGCAGGACTCTATTAATATTCTCTTTTATCATATTTTTACTTTTACATAATATTAACTAATTATTATTAAATTAGCCTGCGTTAATAAAAATATTTTAAAACAAAAATTAAACTAATAATATTAATATTGCAATTTTTTACTAACAATAAAATATATTATATATTAAAGAATAATTCTATTGATATAATACACAAATTATTAATATATAAAACATTAATATAATATATTATCTTTTAGTATAGGTTTTCAAAGTCTATAATAATAATTTAATTAATTTATTTATTTATATTAATTTAATTTTTGTATATCTCATCTAAACCCTAAAATAATTTATTTACCATCTTATTACTATTAAAAATATATGAAAGCTAAATCATTCAATCTAATTCAAACAACTTTTAATTATTATAGTGAATTAAAATTTGATTCAAACTCATGCTAAAACAAATCCAAGTATAATTTTATGATTAAATTTAATATTGTTTGTCTAAAAGTCGATGCAAATTCAACTTTATATACCTATTTTGTCGGTAAATGAGAATCTACAGTTCACTTAAATTTAATTTTAAGCATTTAAAATAATAAATTTTATTAATAAATAATATTTATTATTTTTATATTTATATTTATCATATTATAAATATTTTTTAATAATTTTTTAAAATGCTTAACTTCTGTTTTATACTGTGTTTTTCTTTTCGGTAAAATGACGTGGCAATATTATCCGAATGAGACACATAAGCCACGTCTTAAGAAAAATAAATCATGGGGCATGACAATATCAAATCCCATCTAAACCGTTTTTTTTATCCTCTTCAGATTTAAAAACACAGGATATGTCACCCTTAAAATTGGGATCGTTTTACGAATACGTTACTCTGCGTGTCATTGTACCTGTCTAAAGATTGGTCACTCAAATATCATGTTTAAATAGGATCGCTGTGAGTGTTCTCCATCAATTATCGTCGCGTCTCTGCGGAACTGATTGCTTTTGTGCAACATACACTTCATTCGAATTGAAGCCCCATATTTCTGGGTAAAGGTATAATAGCCCCTTCATTTTATTTAATTTAATCCTTCTGGATCTTCATCAGGTTTGTTTTGTGATTTGTTTTGTTTTGTTTTTGTTTTTACTAAAATGATACATGATAGATATAAAAGGAGAACACGCGTGACAGGGTATAAAAACTTCAGTGTTTTCTACTTTCAATGTTCTGATGATGATGATATGAAATTTCTCGTAAAATAATTTTGCTAACGTACGTGTACATAAATGAGGCCTCCAAATTGATGTAAAGAAAATTGAAAAATAAAAGTTTTCAAGAGTGTAAGTATAAAATACTACTATAATTAAGTGAGGGCATGATGTGTGGCAACTGGCATTCATGAATGCCAGCATTATTTTCTTCTATGCCAGAAGTGAAACTTTTTGACGTGTAAACGCCTCCTTTTCTTTAATTAACTCCTACCAAATTATGTCCTGTAGAATAATCCTAGGTCCTAGGTGTCATTTGCTTGATTTAGTGCTCTAATAATGGAATTTCTAATACAATGCAACAATTAAATTTTCCGGTAAAATCATGGGGCCCGGTGTTGGAGAGTGTCATTGCCAGATATTGAACAACGGCATTTCATGGAACTCAGGAATTGACCAATGCATGAAATACCCACCAACACCTGGTTCAATTGCCCTTCCCACCCACATGTATGGCCCATGTACAATTCATGTTAAATCTATGTACTTTTTCTGTTCATCCAAAACTATCCACTTCTATATAAATTCTTTTTATGAAAAGGGACTGGGATATTTGCTTGTATCCTTTGTTAATTAGCAGAATGAATTACTGTACTCTATCACGAACATTCTTCTTGTTTCAGGTGTTAGAATTTTGGTATGATATTTATTCTACGTGTATAGAATATTTCTCAATAATTGACCCCTTAAATTATTTTTTATGGGTTCCAACATATGAGTTGATGCTTCTATGTGATACTTAAGATTACCTACCTCTCTACGTTGCTATTTGTCACTTCAAGAAAACTTTTATTTTCTTTACAAACTTTCAAGAAATTCAGTTTAAAATGTGATATAAAATATTTGAAAATAATATCTCTCCATGTGTTTCAGTGGGCCTGATTAATATGCATTGTATCATGATAATTATTTTAATTTGACTAGGACTAAAGAATTTAAATAGATTTGTGTGTCAATTGTTATATGTCATGGCAGAAGCACAGTCCTAAACATTTGCGTCACATCACATACATCTTCTTGAATTTATTGCTTTAGATTTTTTTAATGTGTAATATTGTTTACTAAAATTACAAAATTAAATATAATTAAATACATTAACATTAATAAATATTATAATTTTTAATAAAAAATTGTCATTTATACCTTCTTATCCTTGGACAGCTTAGAAATCGATTCAAATTTGCGTATTTCATTCTTCATTTTTGTCATGCATATTTATGGTGGTATGTGCGCTCCTGTGTTTGTCCTTTGTCTTCTCATTTGGGAATTCGAAATTTTCACATGTCACTGAAATATGATTCAGACTCTGATACCCTAAAGCCAGAGCCACATGAAACTCAACCTTGATCTCAATGATATTAGCTGTCTCTGCTGCATCTTTTTGATCCTCTCTTCGTTACCACCAACCCCTTTAAATCTTTCTCTGTATTATAACATATACATAAAATTCATATTTACATTCATCAACCTCATCCACATCCCTTTTTTCTAGCTCCAGTTATTCACTTAGAGTTTCGAGTAATTGTGTTTTCACATTTTCGTCTATTTTTCATCTTTCTTATTTTTTTTTATCTCTCCTTCCTTTTTGGTCACATCTTTTAATTTTTCTTTTTTCTTTTTGCATTTTTTTCTTAATCCCCTCTCTTAGGTGTGTCAATTTAACATTTTCAATTCACTATGACTAACCTTTCTTCCCTATATATTCATTCATTTAAAGATTATTTTTCAACACAACTCTCATTTTTTCACATCTCAATTTTAACACACCTACACATATTTCTATCTCTTCTTTCCTTTCTCGTTATATCACTTGTCATCATATCTATCACTTTGGCTTTCTTCCATTCTTATATATACCCTTCCTATTGTGTGTGAAAAAAATAATTTATTCTTCTTAATATACAAAGCCAAAGGTACATATCAAAGCACTTTCTTCATTTTCTTCACCTCCACTGCCCCTCATGCAGATCATGAGCAGCATTGCGTTCCATCCAAATGATGACGACTACATAGGCACCGAGAGCTGCATCGACCTTCAAAACCAAAGCGACATGGTTGTTGGTGAGCATGACACATGCAAACCCCACATGCAAGCCAAGTCGAAAAGCAACATCAAAACCAAGGAGAAGAAAGTGTTTCCTCCCCCCATACCCTTACTAGCTCGAACACAAAACTTGGCTTCACACATGCCATGGGTGTTGAAAAGATACTACACAAATGAGGGAAGGTTGATTCTCAAGGAAGAAAAGGTGAAGCATCATGAGTATTTTCGGGCACACAGAGCCAATGGTAGACTCACATTGCAACTTGTTCCCCTCGATGACTATGATGAGTGCTTTAGAACTAGTGAGGGAGAACAAGCACCCCCACCCACAAGTACTATTCCAAATGAAAAGATTCATAATGATAGTGTTAATGTTACTCATGATAATAGTATCATTGATACTAATGGGTTTAAGGATGAAGGAAATGTGGCTGATGAAATTTTTGTGGAAAATGACAATGGGGTTGTAGTAGCTGGTTGTAATGGTAGACCAAAGTGTTTGAATTGCAATAGTGTGAGATCAACTCCATCTTGTATTTTTGGGATGCCAGTGCATCCAATTAGAACCGTTCATGGTTGATTAACCATAAATGTCTTTGGACTATGTTTAGTCCTTTGTGGGAGTTGGAATTACAATTTTTTTGTTAAATTTGTTGACTTTTTTTTTTGTTTGGTCCTAGTAGCTACCAATTGGGATTGTAGTTCTCGGCCTAATAGCTGGGTTCTTTTCTTCTATGTAGTTGTTCATCATCAATGATCAATTTTATGGAAGCTTGGATTCTTATCTTTAGCTAGAATAGATCGTTACACATATAGTAATTTTTAATCAAAAAAATATATAATTCAATATAATTAAATTCAATGATATTACTAAATATTATAATTTTTAATAAAATATGCTTCTTCTTTTTTACTTGTGCAATGTTCTACAGATTAAAATTGAATTAATGAACACTAGATTAAAATAAAGCAGAAAAAATTTCTCTTCCTAGAACACTTCAATTTTCAGCTTTTCAATTGAAGAATCACACACATAACATATTTCTCAAAGAAAAATGACACTACAAAGCCTTCTACAACCCTTACTTTTCTTTATTGTACGCACCGGAAAAAGTTAAGGTGTTCAATAATCATCTAAACTGTTTTTACATGATTTTAAAAATATTAAAAATTTAATAAATTATTAATAGAGAAAACCTCAATTCTTTTATTTATTCTCATGTTTAAAATTAAATTAAACCAAAATTTAAAATTATTATAATTTTAATTCTAATTTTACATAATATTAATTTTACAAATATTTTTAAAAAGAATTTAAAATGATTTTGATTTGTGATTTATAATTTAGACTACTTTATATATTTTTTTATATTTATTATGTATTTTAATTTTTAATTAAAAATGTTGTCTTTATTGAAAAAGTTATAGTCACTAAAAATTTTATATGTTTGTTGTAACTTATACTCTAATTAATAACATTTTATTTTATTTTAATACAAAATCATAATATTATTTCTTAAAAATTAAGAAATAAGTTTAAATTATGAATCTAATTCCAACAAAAAAAGACTAATTTAAATTTAATATCATTTTTAAACTAATCAAAATTAAATCACAGCTTTTTAAAATCAGCTCAATTAATTTTTTTAATTCAAAATTGATTTAATTCAAACGCGAGCACGCCTAAGAAAGGAGGGGGTGAGGGGGAAAATTCTTAGGATTGTTATATACAATCACAGAAAAAACATGAGGAAAAAAAAAAGTTTGTGGTTCATACTTTGAGGATTGCATTTTTTTTTTTGGTTCTCCTGTTTATGTGTTGGGTCAATTATTTTCTTTTATGTTGGGTTCAAGTTTGTTGGGCTAGATTAGCTATCTTTCAGTTGAGAATAGCATCAGCATTTTACATTGAGCCATTTTAATTAGACAGCTTGTCATAGTTGAATTTGGGCCCATATTCTTTTTTAGAATAAATAAATAATTGGTTTAGGCAGAATGAATTTGAATCAATAAAATTAATTTCTTTACCCTATTAATAGGTTTTAAACATATTTTTAATTCAAAAAATGATTAAGGATTGAATAATGTACACAGCTTCCACTTTCACATGAATTATAAGTGTTAGTGGAGTGTTTCATACATAGTAGTGTATTTTAAAAATAAAATTTAGTTTAAAAGGAAAATATATTTTCATAATTAAAATTATTTAAGTCACAAATATTTTATAGAATAATAGAACTTTAATTCCTTTTAAATTAAGGAATGTGTCAAAATAGGACATTATTCCATTGAACTTAAATGATTTTTTAATTTCTTAAAGTTCTCTTTGTAAACAATTTTAGTTTTTTTTTCATTTTATTTATCTTATTTTAAATGTTAACATAAATATTTTATAGTTATTAATTTAAATACAAAGCAAAATATAGTAAAGATAAATGTAGCAAGAATGTTGTGAAATTAAGTCCTCATCTTTTCTTTTAAATGTAATGACTCTCGAACCTAGTTAATCATAAAAGGGTTTCTCTCAAGTTTTTTCAATTTAATAAACTTTTATAAAAATTTGAGTTTTTTTTTTAATTTTCATTTGTCACTTTCAATTTAATAATTTTTTTCATTTATCATTCTTGTCGCAATCTCAATTATAAAAGATGGTGACCTTTTATCACGCTTGATGTAGAAACCTACGTATTTTGGTTGGAAGATATTTTCAGTGGATGTACCATTGTGAGAGTCATAACATTTCAACTTGTCCCTTTGGGAGCTCTTCAAAGGTTAGAGGTGTTGTTCATCACTGAATGTCATGGCCAAAACATAATAGTAGGACATTGAGGAGAGTGTAATCTTTGAAGGGTCACACGCAGGGCATTTATCATTTACACGAGTGTCTAACTCCCAAATTAATAAAATAACCTATTTATAAATTAAGGACCAATTAAATTTAATAAAAAATATTTACTTATAAAAGAAATAAAATATAAAAGGTTTCGCATACTCATTATGAATAGATATTTAGGTGGTAAGTAACTAGCAATTCATTTTGGTGTCTCACATATAGTTATGCTAGTCTTGGTAGCGTTTATTAGGATTCTTTAAAAAAAAATATGTGTAAATTGTACTACACTACTAGACTAAATCACATTGCATCTAAAAAAACTTATTTTGGGAGAACTAAATAACATATTTTACCCTAAAAGTAATTCACTGCTGGACCATTTGTTAAATAAAATAATTTAGTATACTTTATGACAATGTTTGATTGCGGAACAGAAACACTAAAATAGAAATATGAAAAGTATGCGTATCATGTTTAGCTAGTGTCTCGTTGAAAAAACAAAAATACAAAGGACACAGGAAACATAAATTCAAAAGACACCAGTGTACTTTCTAAAAAAGAGGACATCAGTGTCTCAGCTCCAGAGACACGGAAAATAAACTTGTAAAAACAAAAAAAAAAGAGATACCAGTATTTCTATCTCCATTATTAAGAGACCGTAATCAAATGCTGCTTATGTGAACCGGTCAACTCATTCAAATGAGAAGTTAATATGATTTACATCTCAAATCTCAATCTTGCAATTCACAAATTCATGCTTGCCTTCCAACTCTTACAGTCACTATGCTAAACTCTTCACCTCTAATATAAGAACCGATTCTTTAGCTCTTTTGGTGGAAAATTCAATCTAAAAATCCCCCTTTTATTTTACTGCTGTTATTTCTATCTTCAAGCTTTGCATGCGTGGGATTTGATTTAGATTGTTCTCACTGTTAAAGTTTTGAGTGTTAAATTTGTGAATTTTCAAATGAGTTTCAGTTTGAAAAAAAGCTGCTTTAACTTCAATCTCATCCAACTTCGAAAGTTCTTATTTTTTAAAAAATAAACTTCGCTTGTATGATTGAATAAGTTGGTCTTCAGACAGTGACTATGCCTTTTAATTTGGCAAGTTAATGTCATTTGTCTATGTTTTAATTGCTCTACTATTTTGGTTCTTTTTTGGTACTAGAATTGACAAGTAATAAATTGAATTCCTTAGGTTAGGTCTTTCTGTTTATCTTGAGTTTTGATATGATTTAATGCCGTTTCTATGATCTGTAGGTGTTGGTTTTAATATCAAAATGCTGACAGTGAATTTTGAATTATTTATGTAATTGGTGTAAATTATATTCTTTACATACGACTTATAATACTTTTTTGTAAATAATTTAATAAACTTATACATATTAGATACCACTTACATATTTTAAAAAGTATAAGTTGTATATAATATGTCAGGTTTATATATTTTTTAAAATATAAGTCGTAAATATAACTCCTCATTTGGTCTCATTTGTTTTCATAAATACTTAAAGGAAAAAAGAAAAGAAAAGAAATAATGACTGCTTTGGTGGACTTAACAAGGACACACCAAGATATTTATAATCAAATGAAGCAGCATCAATCAATTTCTTGAAGAAGAGAAATCATAGGAAAGAGGTGGCCCATATGTGAGTACCAAACACCTCGTGAGGGAACAGTGTATAGCCGCGCTTTTGTCAAGGTTCGAAAACAAAAAGATAAGTTGGGTAAACTTAAAAAAAAATTATAAAAGAAAAAATAAATAATTTTTTTAGAAGTTAAAAACAATTTAAGTATTTTAATTTTTAGAAGTTCTCTTATTTAATTTTTTAAAACTTGAGAAAATAATTTTAATTTAAAAAATTATTTATTTTTAATTTTTTAAAAGTTTATCCAAAATAAATTAAAATAAACTTTTTAAAAGAAGAAAAAGAAAAGGCGGAGAAATCACCGTTGCTTTCAGTTTGGGTCTTACCCACAACGCTTCTTGTTTATTGGTTCCCCACCTTATCCATGTTTAACACGTTTTTTTTATTTAACCCTTCCCTTACAGCACATCTATAAATATCTATATCTTATCAAAATTAGACCCTTCTCTTGCACATACATACAAATGTATTTTGTCCAGGTAAAATGGAAAAAGGATCTCTTCATGTTCGAAATCGAACATGGGTCATGTTGGTGTAAATTTGTACGCTCGCTTAAGCCAGCAAAATCTTGCTTAAGCAAAATTACAAATTTACACCAACAAGGATCCGGTAAAATAGGAGACCACTTAAGAAAAGATAAGAAAAGAGAGTGAAGACAAGTTTTAACTAAAAATAGGTAAAATGACAAGAAAGATGGGAGATGAAACAAGTCTCATTAATGACAATGGGCTTCATAGGAAGCCGAAAGAGCATATATGCACAGGAACAAGGGAAAGAAAGCGTCTCACAAGTTTATATACTCAATTTCTCTTGTTATACCTCTTTCCCTGTAATTCTCCTTGTAAAGCTTGGTTCTCAATATGTGTCTTATAATCCCTTTTTCTCCACCTGTAAAATTCTATTCAATAACACATTTTTCAAATTTGAGTTTGAATCAATGACTTATTTATTTATAATTTTGTAATAATTACAAAGCACATTAACCTTTAATTTTGAATCCATGCAACTTCAGTATATATTTAATCCAGATTGGGGTGAAGCCTCGTCAACTGTGAATGGATGCAATTCGTGATTGAGAGCACTCCTGTGAATCAAGTTGATAAATAACTAAATAAATTAACAAAAAGATATTGTAAATAAATTTGATTAAATTTAGCCATTAAAAATAAATTTCTAATAATAGTAAAATTTTATTAAAAAATATTTATTATATTTTTATAACTTTAATATAATAATTATATATTTTTTCATAAAAATTTCTTACTGGGAATGCTTAAATTTAGCCCTTATAAATATGATTATAAAAAGATGTAAAACACGAGTGTCACGTTGACTTTAAACGCACGATTCTTATTTTTAGGTTATTATGTATGTTTATCATATTTTAGAGCATTAATAAATAAATTTAAAAATATTAAAAATTAATGTAAAATACCTTGATAAAATCTTTTATTTTTAATTAATATCTATCGTTGAGTTATAGTAAAAGATCTTATTTACTACTCAGTTAAGTTATTTTTGGATATTTAATATTATAAATATATTTTTAAAATTTTTTAGTAACAGTGTTGTTCCTCAACGAAGATTTTGCCATGCAACAATATCAATTTTCTTAATTATTATTTTCTCCAATTTTATTTATAAGAAAAAAACTAAATTATTATAATTAAAAAAATAATTAAATCAGTTATTTTTTATGAATATAAATTTTATTTTAAAAATATTTATGGTATTAAATAACGTAGTTAGTGTAGTTACTTTCTTGTAAATATATATTTGACAATAAAAGAAAGATATAATTTTTTTTAAAAAAAAATTACCTTCTTAGCAACTTAAATGATGTGGTGAAATCTTACCTAAGTAATTTTTTGAGAATTTTCATTTAAGCTAAAATTATAGCATTTGAATTTAGATGAATTTTATTTATTATTTGAAAAGTCTAGTGAAAGTGGTAAATGATAGTCAACATGTATTTAACAAAAAGAGAAGAAAACACGTTGAAGCAATGGTATCATAAAACATTTATTAGTCAACATCATTTATAAAATTTATCGTCTGCTCAATATTTTGATGGGTTTGGATTTTTAAGATTTGATCCAATATATTTTGAGGACGAGTTTGGGTTGTCTCAATTTGACTTGATGTTTATTATTTAATTTATATTTTTTAATCAATTATGTATTAATAATAAGACTTTAAAATTTAATAATAACATTTTTATGATACTATATTCATATTCATATTATTTATTTTAAAATAAATACTATAATATTTTAATTTTAGTTTTATACTTCATTAATTTTATGCTTATCTGTATATAATAATATTAAGATAGCTATATATTTTGTTTTATAAGTCAAGTTGAATCAATTTTATCCTAATTTCATCAGGTCTTAATCGAATTAGGCCTGGGTTTAAAAAAAAAAAACTTATAAAATTTTAGATCAAGTAAAGATAGAAGATAGAAGTAAATCTATCTTAACTTGTTTCTGTACACCCCTAATTCCTCGACTTGAACAGACCCTCTTCTCCATTTTTCATAAGAAATACATAAAATTTTAGTCATTAAATTTTTTTAAAATATTAATAATTTTATTGATTGAATAAGGAAATAAAATAAAAAAATAAAACGAAGACCATCTTAACCAAAGGGACCCGGAGGTAAGGAAAGAAAGTGGATAAAAAATGTATATTTAATTATTTGTTGAAATTTTTAAAAATAATTATAAAATTTTAATTTAGAGTAAAAGTAAAACATTTCTATTCGTGTTCATAACTTTTTATTTTATTTTATCAATCTATTTTAATATATTATAACTCTCAAGAACGATATCATATCGTATCCATGAGGACCACGTTAAAATAAACTATACGTAATGATAAAAATATCTATTATTTAAATATTAAGTTTAAATATATATTTTGTATTTAATTTATTCCAAATTATTTATTTATTTTATATATTATAATTGAATTGTAATTTTTAAAGAAAATGTCTTTAATAGTTAATTTAAATAAAACATTTTTAAATTTTTTTGTTAAACTATGTGAGTGCTCTTGAGAATTTATTTTTTAATTTTAATTTTAATTATAAATTTAATTGTTTTTAATTTTTTAAAACTAAATTTATCAAATATAATATAATAAAATATAGTTATTAATATTTTTTATTTATAAAATATATTAATTTTAAATATAGTAATATAATATAACTTCAACTTTTTATTTAAATTTTTTTAATTTAACAATACTCATACAGCGTATATAAATTTATTATTTTTAAATTGAACACTTTTAACACAATACATAAGAAAATTGCTATTTCTTATAATTTTTATTTTTATTTAATAAATTTAATTTTGATGCATTGTATAAATAAAAAAATTGTCAACCAATTGTAATACAATAATGACGTGAATTTTATATTAATTAATACAAACATTAAAAATCCTTACTAAGATTACAATTCATATTTATATGATAGTATAAAAATTATATATTTTTAGTGTGTTTAAATTAATTTTTTAATAAAAATATTTAAAAACATACCCATGCAACCCATAAAGTTTGTCTGATAATTAATATATTATTATAAGAGTTAAATCATAAGATAATTATTTTTAAAACTATATATATATATATATATATATTCATTTTATCTCACACTTCTATCTCGTTATATTCTTCATTTTTGTAGGCTCACTTCTCTCTTTTGTTCTTACTTTTCTCATAATTATTTATAAAAAAAGACTGTGGAAAGTGGAAATTGATTATATAAAATTAATTTATCTTATTATAGCAAGTACATAATATAAAGAATTCTTAGTCACGCTGACTTATACCACACCAGAGAGAGAGAGAGAGAGAGAGAGAGCAAGGCAAACAGACCAAGGAACGGACCATTGTATTGTAACCGGTACTTCCTTTTTCTTCTTTCTTCCTTCTTCTTTTTAGTATCATTCGTTTACAGTTTTAACTGATTTCATTTTACTAATAAGTGTTCGATTCTTAGATTTGATAGTGTGTATCAGAAATTAAAAAATTGGTGTTTGAATTTGCGACTTGAATGCACTCCTTTTCATGTTTGTCTTCTTTCGCATCGTTGAATTATAATTTCTCTTCAGTCATGGTGGGTTCCTTAAATTTGGTTGAGTTTATTTTCGCCATTTTTTTTTCTGAGTTAATGTTACAACTACGAAGAAAAAAAAGGGAATTGTGAAAAAAAAAAATACCTAAGTGCAGTGTTGTACCTTCGTTTCAGAACTTGTGGATCACACAATTCACATTTCACAAATCGAAACTGGGTTTTCTGCGATCTGCACTGTTTGATTTATTTTATGAATGATGCATCATGCTTGATTTTTATTCTCGTTTGATTGTTAATTTGGTGTCCACGGATAAAGTGGAAACTGAATTGAGTTAATTAGTCGAGAGAGGAAAAGCATTCCCATGAAGACGTTGAAAAGTGGAACTGTTGTTCTTGTGAATTTGATTGTATCTGGTTTTATCATTTTGAGGGGTGTGTGTGTCATATTGGAGGATCTTTGCTTTTATTTTTACCTTTTTAATGAAAGATTGGATTGTGTTCTTTAACCACATTTTCTTCCAGCTGTATGGAATTTCTTGGCCTCTTGATGTCTACGATTGTAACTTGATTTGAAGCCATGCCGGGCAGGGAATTTTGATGTTTTGCTAATTTATTGTTATCAAGCAAGGGGTTGTTAAATGCTTATATATGGATTTTCTAGCTTTTTTTAAATTTCCAAATGGGTAGAATGGGTGATTTCATGCTTTCTTTCAGCATTAAAGATATTTTGTAGATGGATGATTTCTATTTTTCTGCCAGTGTTGTAATGGAGATATCGACTCAAATAGTATTTTGATTATCGTTAGCCTCTTGATCTCGCCAGGTCTGCGTGTTATCTTACACTTGTTGCATGCTTCCTCCTTTGTTTCTTTTCCATCGATAGATTGACACTGAGAGAATACTGTGCCTTTAGTTTGCAGCAGCAGGACTGAAGTCAAATTTTCTATGCTATAATGTTGGCAATTTGGGTTTCGTGCAGATATTGAGCTTTCCCGGATATGGGTTCTTTCTTTAGTATGGCTAATACCAAATCCAGTCGAAGTGAGTCTAATGAGGTCTCTCCAAATGAGAGCTGCAAGAGGCAAAGAATATCACCTCCCTCTGTTGAAGAATGTCCAAGACTTATTCCTAATCTCCCTGACGAGTTATCACTTCAGATTATTGCTAGACTTCCTAGAATTTGTTACTACCATGTACGACTGGTGTCTAGGAAGTGGAAGGACACTATCACAAGTTCAGAATTATATAAAGTAAGGAAAGAACTTGGAACAACTGAAGAGTGGCTATATCTATTGGTTAGGATTGGAGAAAATAAACTCTTATGGCATGCCTTAGACCCCCGTTCTCAGATATGGCAGAAGCTTCCTATAATGCCCAATGTTGTTGATGAAGAAGAATCCCAAAAGGCTTCTTCTAGGCTTTGGATGTGGAACATGGTAGAAGGCATCAGAATTGCTGAAATTATTAGAGGACTGCTTGGGCAGAAGGATGTGTTGGATGAAATGCCCTTTTGTGGTTGTGCCATTGGTGCTGTTGATGGATGTCTTTATGTTCTAGGTGGATTCTCAAAAGCTTCAACCATGAGATGTGCTTGGCGATTTGATCCAATACAAAATGCATGGAAGAAGGTGACTTCTATGTCTACAGGTAGGGCTTACAGTAAGACAGGCATCTTAAATAACAAGCTTTATGTTGTTGGAGGGGTTAGTCAAAGTCAAGCTGGACTGATTCCTCTTCAGTCTGCAGAGGTTTTTGACCCCCGCACAGGTACATGGTCCCAAGTACCTAGTATGCCATTCTCAAGAGCTGGAGTCCTGCCCACAGCCTTTTTGGCTGACATGTTAAAGCCTATTGCCACAGGGTTAACCCCATACAAGGGGAAGTTATACGTTCCCCAAAGTTTATATTCATGGCCCTTTTTTGTTGATGTTGGGGGAGAAATATATGATCCTGAAACAAATTCATGGATGGAAATGCCAACTGGAATGGGTGAGGGCTGGCCTGCTCGGCAGGCAGGTACAAAGTTGAGTGTTGTAGTGAATGATGAATTATATGCTTTTGATCCTTCTAATTCCGTGGATAGTGGAATGATCAAGGTATATGATCACAGAGAAGATGCATGGAAAGTTGTCATTGGAAAAGTCCCTAAATATGATTTTACTGATTCAGAGTCTCCATATCTACTTGCTGGTTTCCATGGAAAGCTTCATTTCATTACAAAAGATGTCAATCATGATATTGCTGTTTTGCAGGCTGATCTGCACAGTAATTTGGATTCTTCACCATCCACCTCAACACCTCTATCACCCAAGTATATGAATGGATTATTTCCAGAATCTGCTGCTGAAACTGATGCAGTTGTTTGGAAAGTAGTTGCCAGTAGGGGTTTTGGGCAGGCTGAACTGATTAGTTGCCAAGTTATTGATATCTAAACTGATACCAAGCAACAAATCTGACAACCAAGATGTCAGTTTATTGGAAGTTATGCAATCTCTTCTACAGTGAAGGGAGTGCACTTTAGATGGTAAGTGCACTATTAGCATTGATTAGAAAATCAATGGTTGAGATTTATACATGTGTTTGATTTTATAAAAATACTCAACCACTGCTTTTTAATCAATAGTTAAAAGTGTATTTTATTCTCTAAAGTACATTTCTTTACTTTAGAGGAGCCGGATCCAGTTTCCTAACCTAGGTGCATGATGACAATGAATGCTATAAGTCTCTGTATTTAGTTTATATATAATATCAGGTAAATATGTATGTCCCATAGAAACTGTCAGCTTCGACAATGATGTGCTTGTTGCTAGTCAAATGCTCAAATTTATTACTATCAGAACAATATCAAACATTCCACACAGATAAAAAGAATAACATCAAACAATTCATTATCTACTACAGTTAACATTTAATAATGCAAGAAATGATACTTTCAGAAGCTTAACGTACTATCACGGAAGTATTTGAATAATATCTTGGTCTCGGGCTAACTTTTAAATTATTCAAATTATGCACATAATTTCTGTCGCTATTTTTCAATAATGTAGAGCAAGTTGAATTGAATCCGTGGCATATGATAAAGCCACACTCGTAGATGTACCCAACTAACAGCATTTTCGATTTGCGCATGAACGTGCTCAAAAGATTTACCACATTGATTGCACGCGCGTAATTGACTGACACAAATATCTAATAATTAGGCTTGGATCTTTCTAGTGTCGGATATTCATAGTGGCTAAAACATTCATGGTACGATTCTTTTTAGGAACAAGACATTGTGTGAGATAAAAGAGACAGAAAATCTGCCTCAAACCGACGGTCTGTTGGGCAAGCAACTTTTGATTTTCATAGTCAATTTAAAACCCCATATTTGATTTAAGATATCAAGATGGATCACATGATATGAATACGACGTCATTCTAAAATGAAAAACAATGGTGCAATCAATATCTTGGAATACCTTTCCACACTATGATGCATGATTATAAACTCAGTCAAGCGTTCAAGTGAAAATTTTGGTCATCCGTTCATATCGTAATTGCTAGTGAACGAGTGTTGCAGTTAACAATAATGAAACATTAAGCAGCGAGTATTTCATGTTGTATGTTGCTAATTAATTTTTCATTTTATTTATGTCATTTTCATAACATGTATATTCTAAAGAATATGAGTGACAAGCTGCTTGCTTAAACGTTAAGCAAGGTTTCGAGTTCGAGATTTCGAGTCTTGGATGTGTTACCTAATTAAATTTGGTTCCGTATTGTACTGATCTTGGAGATGTGGTGTGGCAGCCAGAACAAGTAAATGTCGACATTGCAATTTGCAATGCATCTGGAAAACTAATAGCTTTCTCATTAACATGAAATTGTCAATGGCACTCCTGCAGAAGATCAATGAGGAGAACGTCCATCAGTTAAGTTGACATAAGATGGCAGTACAACATGCACAGAATTGACCAACTTCAGACGAGACAAAAAATCAACTCAATTCTAGTCAGTTAACTATCGAGGGAACATTTTAAATAGTGAACAAAGAGGTGTTTCTCCAGGCAGAGTCCATCCATGGACCATATGGTAAACCATCTAATTAGTTTTCGATTTTTCATCAATGTAGTAAATAAAATGGTTTTCTAGTGGATATTACCTAGTAGGATAAAGTTTGGTTATTGTTACTCTTGCAGTAGTAAATAAAATGTACATTTTTCTTTATATACAATAACCTATAAAACCCAATAAAATAGCGAGTTCAAAGCCTAACTAAAAGTGGTTGTATTTAAGCCCAAATAGTAGTTGAGCATAAATAAATATGGCAGCTCAATCTTGAGAATTTAAACCTAATGTAGCTCTTTGACAAAAAATAAATTAAAAACAACGTCAGGCCCAAAGCATAAGTAGCTAACTGTGAATTTGGGAATAGGGTTACGAAAGGAACGATAAACGACTCTTTATTTTACACAAAAATTATTTGACCAAAAAAACATTTTTTAATTTTAATTTTAAATTTTATTTATCTAATTGTTACTTTAATTTTAATTTTATTTCAATATTTATACAAAAAATAGTAAATATTTTTTTTTACTATTTTCTGTATACTTATTTGAAAACAAAACTTACGTAGAATAAAAAAAATGACAATCTTATATCTAAAAGTAAAAAAAAAAAGCATTTCTTAAAACTAAACTGTGCCAAAAAATTTTACTTTTAAATTAGCAAAATGCTCGGTTGAATTGAAATTAAGGTGGAGTGAGGGAAGGAAAGAGACTTAAATCTTTACTCAGTTAATTTTAACGTCCCTCTAAAATCGAGAAAATTCGAAAGAAAGAAAATTTTCAATTAATTGAATATTTTTTAATTTAATAATTTTATTTAATCATCTTTAAGTATATAATAGTAAATTTATTTGTTTTTTCTTCTTTTTCTTGTCTTCTTGTAAATCACAGTAAATGTTCTTCCTTCCATTAACGTTCTTTCCCTTCCTTCTTCTAAATCAAAGTGTGTAAAAGAGATATAATTGCTCTCTTTTCTTTCTTTTTTTTATTTTATTTTATTAAATCCAACTTTTAAACAGAACCTGTAAAGTCAGTTAACTCCAAAAGGGGCAATGAACCAAGCTGACTTAATTAAGCTTGCGACCAAGAAAGATTAATCAATAGAATGCCTAACTAAGCACAGAAAGAAAATGCAGAACTGGGCCAAAGATGCAGCATGTCCACTTTTATATTGGTGGACAAAACTACCAGGGTTAGTTTTTACACTTTTCACTGAGTGATGAATTATATTATATTAGTATAAGTTACATTTATTTTTATACGCTTTAGTAAGTTTTTATTAAATAATTTAATCATAATATCTTTAGATTAAAACTTTTAAAAATTAATATTGATTCAAAATTATTTGAGACTTTATATATATATATTTAAATTAATTTGATATATATTTTTGCAATTTATAAAATTAAAGACTTTTTGATAAAACATATATAATTTTTTATGACAATAATTTTTTTATTTTTAAATTTATTTTAGAATTTAAATTCTCATACTTGAAATTAAGTAATATTCACTTTGACTTTGTCAAGTATCATTTAAATCAATATTTTAAAATTAAAATTTTAAATATTAGTTATGGGATTAATTAATGTTAAAATTGAGTAATGAAGTAATGGTTGGTTAAGTTAAATTATACGTGTAAATACACAAATAATATTATTTTAATTTTTTTTAAAAATAATTTATTTTCATTCTTAATTTTTAAAATTTTTGAGTAATAATGTCTTTTTCTCTTTATTTCTTTTTTGTTTTGTTTTCTTCTACGCTGTCTTCTTCTCTAGTCACTACATTAACTCCCAAAACCTCTAATGAACCAAATGTTTAGAGGTGAGGATCGAAGAAAGTTAATAGTACTTTTGGCCAAATGATAGGGATGTCAACATCAAGAGATAATTTGCTTTGGTTAAAAGTAGAAGAGATGACAAAAAAAATATTGATAATGACAAAATGAATTGTGATACAGGAGATTGGGAGTAAGGGAGGAAGAGAATTAGCAATATTTTGGTCGAATGATAGTGACAATGATGTTAAGGGGTAGTTGGTGATGGTTGAAGACAAAAGAGATGCCGAAGAAAAATTTGATAATAACAAAGTGACTAGTGATCCAAAACATGGGGTAAGAGAGAGGAAGAGGATTAGTGACGATTTAGCTAAATGATAGTGATAATGATAATAAGAGGTACTTCATGATTGTTGAAGACATAAGAGATGTTGGAAAAAATGTTGACAATGACAAAGTGACTCGTGTTTCAATGCTTGAGGTGTGAGAGGAAGAGAGTTAATGATGTTTTTGTCAAATGACAATGACATCAATAAGAAGAGGAATGGTTAAAAGTGGAGTAGATAGGCAGGAAAGAAGACATCTTGAAATAAGATGAAGTAAAAAAAGAAAAAGGAACATTATTGCTCTTGAAAAGCTTAAAAGGTATAGATAAAAAGTTAACTATTTTTGAAAAATCTTAAAATGTTGCTATTTTGTGTCCTTTTATGTGTTATTTAACGTGAAAAATCATCATTTTATTACTCAATTTTAATGACAAGACTAACATGATTGATAATTATTAATTTTAGAAACTAAATTTTTAAATTTAAGATTTATACGATTAATTTTAATCATGATACATATTTTAAGAACTAAAGTGAAAGTTAACCAGTTTAAAATTGGTTTTTGAAAATTAAATTTTGAAAACTTGTATAAAAATGTTTCATAAACTTTATTATTTCAAAAGTGTAGAATTCTAATTTTTGAAAATTTTTTTAAAATAATTAATAATTTTAGAAATTAATTTTTGAAAGTATGAAATTTTAATTTTGAAAATGTAAAATCTCAATTCTAAAAAATTATTTTAAAATAATTTAATAATAACACAAGTTAATTTCTTTAAAGAGTGAAAATCTAAATTTAGAAATTAATTTTAAAAATGTAAAATCTTAATTATAAAAACTTATTAATAAATTTTGAAAGTGAAAAATATAATTTCAGAAATTAAATTTTAGAAGTGTAGAATCATGATACCAAAAACTTATTTTTAGTAGAGTATCGACATAGACAAGTTGAGAGAAATTGACCAAAACATAATTTTTAATGATAAATCAAAATTTATATAATACATTCAAAATAATTAACGTATACAGAGATTAATGATACTTAGAATATATTTAAATCAAAATTTATATAATACATTCAAAATTTAAACTCCTAATTATCAGACACAAATAGGTCGGGAAAACTCTGATGAATTAAGACCGAGTCCAAGTGAAATAATAAGCCTTCGACATAAAAAGAAGAGAGAAATAATAAGGGTAGCCCGAAAACAAACCCAAAAGAAGCCGACACCTAAGAACAAGTCACGGAGAAATTGTTGAAAAAGAAAGGAGAAATTAAAAAGCTAAGAAGCCTAATCATAAATTACAAATACTTTAAAGCATAAAAGATAAAGCTTCGATGTTCCCCATTTAAAAACCAACAAAAATCACTCTCCAAGACTGCACCCGTAAGGACCAAAGAAAGCCAAGAGGAAACTAGCTTGATCATGGGCCTGAAAGCTCTCTTTGTTTTTCTTCTTACTGGTCACTTTTAAGTATCTCATTTACTTTAGTATTATGAAGTTGAAACTGCTTAAAAATGTCAAATATAACCTGGGTCTACATTAAAACTTAATAAAAATAATTGTAATAATTTTGATTTTGAACTATTAAAATTTTTTAAAATATCTTTCCAAAGGAATTTTAACTATAAACATTAAAAAATATATATGCTACACTATATAATTCAATTGTGGAATTTGAATTAGGTGTACCCAACGGTAATTGTTTTGAAGGACTGTTAAGATGTGCATAGCATGATGGTGTCAGAGCTAATCCCATATCCTCTCAATCACATGACGGCATATAGGCACAGTGGATTATGTGGCGGTGGATTATGTACATACGTTTTAAATGGATTCCCATCTCATGAAGAACAGATAAAAGAGATTCCCATCTGGAAACGGTTCCGTTTCACATGATATATCATGAATTCTGATGCCAGTTTGAAGCATAATGCAAATCCGGAAACCCCTAACTTTTCCCCCGCTTGAATATTAGTTAAAAATACCATTCATTGCATCATCATCTGACCTACTCTCATTGTCAACTACCCATTTATTTAGGGCGATATCTAAAGTAAATTTGTCATTCACGAAAACAAACAGTTCTCTTTATCTGGTAATCATTTTTATTTTAGTTACCACAAATGATCTTCATGATAATACAAGGAATTTACAACAATAGTTGATTTGATTTCACAATACAACATAGTTCATTTCATTTAAAAATACAAAAATTCGAGGGTACGTACATAAATACTAATAATTAAAAGAAAAAAGAGAGCAAGATACAGTGAAGATGAAGAATTGAAAGAACTAAACAATCTTTGTAGTTAAAAGCATAACACTAATCCGAAAAGGCCAACATTAATCAGGATTTGGCGACTTCGGTGTCATTGTAATCAGATATCCGAGAAATTTTCCTGTGGTGCTGCTTGGAAAGAAAGGAGAAACACCCACTTGAGGTTTTGTCCTCGGAATCTGTTGTGATTGCATGAACCTTGATGTGGGTGTTTCTCTCTTTTTCTTCTTGTGCTTGCTTCTTCATTTTCTCCTTGTACAGCTTGGTCATCACGTATGTTTCAGCGAGACCATAACTTGCCGTTGCCATGGTGGGTTGGAACTTGGAAACGAATGATGTTCAGTTCAAGGCTTGTTAGAACTATGAAGCGAGGAGATACATGGGGTTTGCTTTATATAGACTCGTTTTGGCTTGTGGAACAAGCAAAAAGTGTTCCACTTTGAATCAAAGTTGGGTGCGCTTCGGTGGGGTCGTCATTTTGCCGCGTTTTCCCATTCTCTCCAAGACTTCTTTTTAAGCTTACTACTGTCTTTCTTCGAAGAATAGTTCTTGTTTTTTTCAATTTTTAAAGGAAAATATTTTTTAAAATATACAAGTTCATCTAAAACTTTAATAACATTTTTAACACACTTTCTAAAATATAATTTTACGATTGATTTGATTTTATCAAATTTTATATTTTATTCTTCAATATTAATAAACTGAAATCAATAATAAAAATATATGAAAATGTGTTATTGAAATGGTATTTTATTTTTAAGAAGATAGTTATTTTTTATAATTTAATAATTATGACTTTTATTTAATTATTTTGAATATTATAGTTTCTACATAAAGACTTAATGAACAAAATTAATGGAAATTTAACAGATGGATTATGCAACAACGAGATATTTTAATAAAGTGTAAATAATAATTTTTCGAAAAGTAGAAATGTTATAAAAAATAGTGATATTTTGAAAGAGAGAAATACAATAATGTTTAGCGTATGTCATTGCAAACGTAAATGGCCCTACATACGAATCAACGGTAGGGTTCGAGGAAGATGAATGTGTCATCTTTCATCCACAGTGACATACTGACATTCCTTCTTTGCCAAGTTTGCTCCTACTTCGTAACCAATGATCTGTATGTAACCTTCGACGCTTCTAGCTATTCAGACGGCTAGTTCACGAGTCAATTTTAAAGTAAATTAGTTTGATTTAATTTTTTAAAGTTAATTAAAATAAATTATTTTAGCTCAATTTATATAAAAAAATCTTAAAATATAAAATTTTAAGAGAATGAAATTCTCGTCATTGTTTTAAAATAAAAAGACAAAAAAATATTTCAATCGTCGTGGTCCAAAAATCATAAAACTTTAAATATTATTTCAAGTTTGAGTATTATTAAATTAAATATTTAGAGAAAAAACTTTTTTATTTATTGTAGTCTTATTCATCTCAAACATATTTATTTATAATAAGAAGACATTAAATAACATCTAATTTTCATTTAAATTCTTACAAAAAGTATTTTTTATATAATTTTCATATATACAATTAATTTTAAAATTACTTCATCAATTATTCTTACTCAAGTATTATAATACTGTGAGAATTAGATTGAATTGTTGTAAAGCATAAGCACTAAGTTTAAAATAAATATAATGTAAGATAATAAAAAAAATACAATATTATTGACTTCTATTCATGATAGTCAATTGATCGTGTTTTAAAACTGAAATGGTAAAATAGAAAAGAAACCTGAAATGGTAAAAAGTATTGGTTTAATGGTTTGATTATAGTTCAATCAGGGTGAAACTAATTACCATTAAATAATATTTTAATATTATAAATTAAGTTAAATAAAAATTTAAATTAATATAAAAATTATATTATATGCTTTATAAGATAAAAATATACAATAAATAGTTAAATAAAATATACATGTATCATATATCAACCTTTATTTTTTTAAAATTAAAAAATATTAAAAAAAGCAAAAAAGTCCACTTCTTTTAAAAAATTAATTCAGAACGATTCATTGGTATTTGGTTTATATGCTCCAACTCTAATATATTTTAATTAGTTCTTGATTATTTTTTTTTGTTTCATCAATCTATCTCTATGTATAATTTGCAAATTTCATTTTTTAAATTGGAGTTTTTCGAGATTTTGTTTTAAACAAGTGTTTTTAGGTGTCAATTTTTTAAGATTTTAAGATTTATTTTTAAATTGAATATCACTTTTAAAATATTTTTAATTTTTTATTTAGTCTCATTTAATTTATTAAAATATTTATTATTAATCTTTAAATGATCGAAACTGAAAATTTAACTTATTCCTAATCCAACCGATTTAAGTAGCTTATTTAGTTCAATTTTTGAAACCATATCACTAATTAAATTTATAAAGAATCACATTTTGAAACTATAATAATGTTTTTTGAGAGAGAGAATCAAGATTTAATTATATTAGGCGCTAAATTTTGTAAAATGAAACTTTTAATTTTTTTTAATCTTTTTTCATCAATTTAATCGATAACTATTATAATATAATTTTTTCATGAAGATCATGAATGTAGTTGTTAACCCAAATTAAATTTTTTTAAATATTTTATTGAATATTAAATATTTATTTATATTTTAAATAATATATCATTTGTTAAAATATAATAAGACGATAAAATATTGATGAAGTTAATTTACTTTATAAAAATTTGACATAATGAGATTATTCGATAATCATTTTAAGTTATAAAATTTTATTATAAATAGTTATAATTAAAACATAAAAGTTATGTGACTTTTTAAAAAAAAAATACATGATTCTTAAAATAAATCATATGATTTTAATTAAATTTTTATTTTAATAATCTATATTAAATTAATTTTTTATTATTTTGAAAATTATAGATGATAACCCTGTTTAAAGACATAGGTTTGTTGAAAATGCTTATTAATAAATTAAACATTTTATTAATAAATAAAATAAAATTTAACATTTTAAAAAATCAAATTTCTTTTCTCGTCTTAATTTCTTTTTAACATAAATTTCACATAATTCTTCTCTCTTATATCAATTTTTTTTTCACTTCGATCTAAATTTCAAATACAATCTATTTAGAAGTAAGTTTGTTGGTCTATATTTAAGGTGCATTTTGAAAATAGTGTTTAATTAAACGCTTATTAATAATTTTTAAAAAATGATTGTTTATGTTATAAATTTAATATAGAATTTATTAAAATAAGTTGAAAATAATTTATTTTGATAATTTATAAAAAATATTAAAATAAACTAAAAATAACTTTTAAAAGTCATAAGCTGCACAAGTCATAAATTCTTCTAAATCGTTGCTCATAAATTTATAAATATATTTTTTTCTGGAATCATACTTTTGAAAACATGTTAAGCTAAACTTTAAAAACGAGTTATCTTGTTAAATACGCTTAGACTTAAATCCAATTTAGAATGAGTTAGACTTGTCTAAGGTAAAACTTTAATAATACACAAAATATGTAATAGTTTCTTAAGAAAGAAAATACAATACAACTCTTGAAGCTTTAGCATATATGAAGTCAACTTTCACCCACGTGGTGAATATTAACACCAACAATATTATAAAATACAACATTCTGAATCACATTGTACATTAAATTACAACTAGATTATTTTTTAATTAAAATTAAAATTTTATTTCAACAAAAAGTGATATCACGAATTATTGAAACAAAATAATATTTTAAATTAAAAATAATACAAAAAACAACTAAAAAATCGTATCTATGTCTTATCCTTTGCGAAAACCTTAGGAAACTCTTTCTCATTGTTGTCTCTTATCTGTGTAGGTCTTCTGAGCCCTTTAGAAAGCCAAGAGAAACAGCCACTTGATGCACCAAGTGTGGCCTTCTTGGTTCTTCCACTCTCTGTTTCCTTCATTTTCTCTTTATGCAGCTTCCGCAACACATATGCTTCAGCAAGATCAACTCCCGACGCCATCTTCTGTGTCTACACTCACTCACTACTATACTTAGACACTAAATATTTTATGATTAATGGGGTGGCTTTGATTTATAAGCATGTCTCTATTGGATTGACTTGGCCAACAAGCAAAGAGTCAATAAATTAATCAAGTGTGTGTATCTTTAGTTTGACTCTTTGTACACTTTGTGGATGCTTGGGAATATTTGGGACCACTTCCATACCCATGTTTTCGTTGTTTGGTAGTTAATATTGTTAGTCTTGGTGGCCAAGTAATTGATAATTTGTGCGCTTCCACCAAGAACATTATCTCTTTTAGTTCTTTTCATATGATATCACCTGAAAACTGATGGATGATGATTGATTGTTTTTTTCTTCCTTTAAAACTAGAATAACAAGTGATCACATTTGGTCAATGATGAGGTGGAACCTTCATTATTTTACCAAAAAAAAGTTGACTTTTTTTTTTATGTATTAGTATTTGAAGTAATGTTTCGAGAAAATGGTTAGTCTAATTGTTACAGGATAATTCGACTCATTAATCTTCAGTGCCTTAATTACATATTTAATAAGAATTAAACCCTCTATTTAACGTCATTAATAGCATACTTCTTCTCATGTCAGTTGTTTTGTACTTAGTAAAGAACTCGGCGAGATCTATTTTGATTTTTAGAAAGTCTAATATTAAGCAAAAAAAATTACATTTTAATCAATAAAAATATTAAAAAGTGTTGCTACTGATTAAAAACTAAAAAATAGTAATTTTTTATTAAAAATTATATTAAAATATATTAAATATATGAAAATAATGTATTTTTATATTTTTAAATAAAAATATTAAATAACTTTTTGAGATCACTGCCATGCACGAGATGATCTTTAGTAAATTTTAAAAATACAACATATAACACAAGTTATATTTAAATTTTTAAATTGCACAATTATGCATTATTTAATTATTAAATAAATTTTATTGTCAACAAATTTAAAGAATATAAAGAGAATGGTACTAAATAAATAGAAGTAAATGTTGTCAATTAATTATTGAAAATCTTTTAAAATACACATCATCATTATTTAAATTTGAAAAAAAAAGTGCAATAAACAACATTTAGGGTATAATTTGTAAATATATTTTTTTAGCACAAGTGAAAAAATTAAAGAAAATTATCTTTGTTAAAAATTAATAGATATTATATAAAAAGATGAGATCATTGAAATTATGCTTATATAAAAAATGTTTAGAGTATTAATATAAAAATAATCTTTTACGTTGATTGAAAATGATTTTTTACGTTAGTTAAAGAACTGATATAAATATAACCAGCGTAATAAGTGTTATATTTTATATCAATTATTAATTGATGTAAATAATTTTTTATTGATT